TCCTCGACCAGTTTCAGAAGATCAAGGTATGTTGTATAATAGTGCTAATTTATTTCATTATGAATCAGCCAATTCCAGAGTTTGAATAATGCCACTTGATATGATAATGTGAACGAATACATCAAATTTTGAGAGGTGTGTATGTACTCCATCGAATGGCATGGAATGCCTCTTGAGTATATGGCTTGACACACGAGCTTAAAGTATTTTCAGTTAATGATGCATGCTTCTTATTCTTTCTTGCTCTTAGTCAATAGGAAAATAGTTCAGTGTTGTCTGCATCCCTCTTGATGAAATGCTATTCTTAAAAAAGAACGTAAAAACTAAAAAAATCTCAAAGCAAGTCAATCCTAAATTTCGAACGTTTAATTTCCAAAAGACTTAAGATTTCAGCTTTTTCTGCTCATATATTCTATTATCAATGTGGTGCTAGTGTTAGTTAGAGAATAGCAATATCAGCAACAGTAATAATTGCAGCATAGCAATAGCTAGCAGTAGTAGCAAGAGAACCAGCAGTCGTAGAAGTTGTAGTAGCAACAGTTGAAACAATATGTTACCGTGTTCTAATTGAACTTTGAATGACCAATGTGTCCCTAACAACAACCAATGCAAGTCTATACCATGTACTAAGTTCTTATAATTTTTCGTTTACTACAACTTTCTGATTTATTTGGCAGGTTTTGTTGGGTTTACTACAACTGTAACAACAGCAGAAACATTACAACTAGCAGCACTAGAAGCAGTAGGTTACCATGTGTCCTATTCAAAGTTTGAATCATAATATGTATTATAACTGAACTTTAATGTGATTTAGGTTCTCCTTCGCCACCTTGTTACTGGAAACTCTAGTCTTGTTCTATGATTCATCAAAGGGGAGTTTGATGAATTTTAGTTTGGTCCAATGAAGAATTCTGAGGTTCATAACATAGTCCTTGCTCAAGAGAGTTTTGCTTGTTTAAACCGAACATGCAAAGAAATTTTGGTTTTTGCAGATGTTTTGATAAATACAAGATCTTTATGTTGCATTTGAAGTATATTTGTTGTGCTCCTCTTATGGTGACAACAAGGTCATCGTCATAACAAGTTGCTCTTCTTTTATTTATATTTTTATGGTAGATGATATAGACGGGCATTGTTGTTTTGTTTCAATGATCAAAACAAAGAGAAACCTTTATCGCTAGAGAATCTAGAACACCTCATGAAACTGTATGCTAGAAGAATTAGTCCTTTTGATTGCATGTTATTAAGTAGTTAAAAGTTTGATTCTTCACTCTTGATATAGTTTTTGCCTACCACTTGACAAGTTTCAGTTTTTGAAATATTGCATCTAATTTTAAATTTCTTACTATGTTTTGTCAGGACTAGAATGACATGAAGATTTCGGAGTTATGGATATTGCAGCTACTCAAGAATATCTTGTAGAAATGTAGACCAAAGAATCGTATGACTGATTGGATTTGTAGTTGATTTTTATAGCGTCAACCTTTTATGCTACAATAATTAGTCTTTTCAATTATATGTTCATTAGCATTGATCAATAAATGTATTTGAACTAATTGTATTTTTAATAATGATAGAATTTCATGCTATAAAACTTGATATTTTCAATTATATATTAATATACGATATCTTAAGAAACATGAGAAAATATTGTGGTTAGTGATTCATAATTAGTCATAGAAAAATACCGTGACCAATTGCTAGTATCTAAACACGGGAAAACCAACCAAAATACACCGCTAATGATTGTCATCTAGTCATGGGAATCTATTTTGTCACGGTAAATACTATGTTCAAAAGATGCACATCCCGTCTCTAAATTGCTTTTTTTATGGTTTGTGTGCTAAGATTTGGTATTACTCATGGGGCTCACCGTGATGAATATGATACAAATTATCATGGGAAATTATACCGTGACGATTTATAACTAGTCATGGAGCAAATTTTCCGTGACCTTTACAATTAGACACAGAGGTATATATTACGGTAATTTTCCCATGACTAACAGTATTAAACACGGGAAACACCCTTTCAAACACGGGATTTCCCGTGATTAAAGGATTGTTTTCTTGTAGTGTAGTGAAGCTACCTAAATCTTGTTTCTTCTTCAACAACTTGTTTTGGATGATGGCGGAGCACTCCTCGCCCCAAGTGACTGAGGCGAGGTCTTCAAATTTCTGCTTCTTAGCAAAAATCCCCTTAAGGAACTTCACGTACCTCAGAATATATGCCATTGCTTCCAAGAAAGGAATCGTGACATTGCGATTCATGAGAATCTCCATAAAGTTGCCACACTCCGCCTCCAAACAATCCTTTTGTACTCTTGTAGAAAGAGGGAGTGGAGGCTTGTACTCAACCACTAGAGGTGGCATCGGCGGTGCCTTCTTAGCCTCTTCACCTTTTCCTTCTGAAGGTTCTTGTTCATGGACCTTCTGAGGGGCTTCTATTTTTCATTTACCTCTTTAGTCGCAACATCTTGAGTTACCTTCCCACTTCTTAATAGAATAGCATTCACCTCGGCTCTTGGATCCTTAGGGTTAGCAACGGTTTGGGAAGACAAAACTCCTTGTGGTCTCTCGGTGAGGATCCCGACAAGATTTCCAAATTGAGTCTCCAAGTTTTGAAGGCTCACTTGATGACTTCTTAGACCCGCCACAATTGAAGTGAACTTGTTTGTTGTGATTTCCATGAATTGCTCAATATTTTAGAACTTTGGAGAACTTGTACTCACAAAGATGGTGACTAGGTCTTCAGGTTTTGAAACCTTATCGAGTTGTTTTTTGAACCCTTGTTTACCTTGTGATTGAAATTGTTGCTGAAGGTTTGAGCCTTGAAATTGTGATCTTTGTTGAATGAAAGGAGGCCTTGGTTGATAGTTCCCTTTTGGTCCTTGAAAACCGGGTGGCCTTGGATTGGTTGGTGAAGACTATGCAAAGTTTGGATGATTGTGCCAACCCCGATTGTAAGTGTTACTATAAGGGTTGTTGTTGTTGATTCCCTTAACATTAGAAATGAAGCTCACGGAGTACCCAAAAAAAAAAAAAAAAAGAAGCTCACTTGCTCCTCCGAAGTTCTCGCTTCCTTCATAAGTTGGCACTCTGCAATCTCATGGTTGGGACTTGAACACCAATCACAAACCATAACCGGCTTCTTCCCTTGCTTCTTGTCATGTATGAGCATCGTGATCAACTCATCAATCTTCATTGTAAGTGGAGGATCCGCCTCCGTGTAGTGTATTCCCTTCTCTCGTGTCCTCCTCCCACGCCTTGGCAACCCCCAACCATAGCCCTTAGCGACCATATCTTCAAACAATACGGTCATCTCAGATGAAGTCTTTTTGAGCATGTTCCCTTCACACAATGAATCAATGAGAATGCAATCTTCTAAAAGGAGACTATCGTAAAAGGTCTCGATCCGGAACTGCTCTCCGAACCCGTGGTGTGGACACTGGAGAATAGTTAGAGTATCGCTCCCAAGCATCCCTCAAAGTCTCGTCCTCCTCTTGGGCGAAGTGAGTGATATTTTTCCGGTATTTCGCCTTTTGAAAGGTGGACAAAACCGGTTCATGAACTTGTTGAGCAAATCTTCCCATAAAGTTATCGAAAGGGATGTCCTGTTGTTCAACCATTATTGTGATTTTCCACTTAGAGAGTAGGGGAAAAACCTCAACCTAATGGCCTCTTCGGGTATACCATTGATCTTCAAACCTCCCGCTAACTCCAGAAACCTCTTGACATTCTCTCGAGGAAATTCGTTCTCTAGTTCATGGAATTGTGTTGTTCACTTGTTCTGGATCAATGTAATGAAGCCGGGCTTTGTCTCAAATTTTTTGGCGGCCACGAGTGGATGCAAGATGCTTAATTGAATATTCGCGCCCGTGGGCCATGTAATAGCCCATCGTCCTCGGTTCACCATCTATGTGGTCTTCTTCGTCCCCCATCTCAAGATTCTCAACTTCAACCTCTTCTTCCGATTCAACTTTGACTTCTCCTTCGAGTCCAACGTGTGGTTTTCCCCAATCCGTTGGTCTTTCCCTTGCTTCCCTCAAATCTCTCTCCCAAGCCAAGAGTTGGACAGTCCGGTTGATTTTCTCGTCTAGTGGGGGCCAAAGGTGTCGGACCTCTCCGGGTTATACACCTCATGCACACACTTCACAAAACACAACTCGAGCCAAGACAAGCAAGATTCACACTCGATAATGGATAAATTGAAAATCTATATTAACACTAAACGACTTTTTCTGAATAATGGACCGTCAACCGAATGGAACTCTAGTGTGGAAAGGTGTGTTCATATACCGTGACGAGGATGCAATTAGTGGAGAAACCCCACTCTCTTAGTCGATTAATCAAGGATTGACATAATAAGCTAGGAAACTAACTCAGAAGCTAATCCGGAACGACGAAAAAGTAACCTATCACGATAAATTCACGACACTAATTTGGTGTTTGAGGCCCTCCCTTATTTTCCCTATATGGGGTTACCTAATTGGCAAAGAAATCATGCTTTTTTAATAATCAAGAGATCTAGCTTCTTCTGGCCCAAAGAGGAATTTCTTCCACCTTTGTGAATTTGACCTAACTTTGAGAAATGAATAACAACACTCAAGAATCATGAAAAATACCTTAAACATTATATTAAACACAACCCCAACACACATAAAATTCAATTCATACAATCTATCACATTTCTATACTAGGGTTCACAATACCCAAGTGAATTGTAGAACTACTTCATGACTTAGAAGTGGAATACCACAAATATGGATAGAAAAACCATGATAAGTTGCTTCTCTTCCCCTCTAGTTGCTTGGATTGCCTCATTGGAGGAGAAATCTCCTCTCTTCAAGCCTTGGGTTAGGTAAAAACTCTCTTATTTCTCCTTTGGTTCGAGAATTTCTCTCTAGTTTAAGAAGAAGAAGCCAATCTCACTCTAGAACTATCCTCCTTTGATTTAAGCTCACTCCTCTTTATAAACTCCAGTAGGGTGATTATAACGGTCATATATCACGCCCGTGATCCTATAAGCTTGCCCGTGATCTCGACCCAAAACGCGTCGGTTCATTTATCGTCTTCACGGGCGGATGGAAATTATCACATTCTTGTGCCGTGACAATTGACCTTCCCGCGAATCGTGAAAAGCCTCATGGAAGTTGCCCATCTTTACGGTCTGGCCTCCATCTTCACGTTCTCCCGCCCATGATGTTTGCGCCTTGACCGTGATCTCTGCGTTTTTGTCAATTTCACTCCATTCTCGCTCTCTTCCATTCGAATTTCGCTCCGGGGGTCAATTTCATCCGCTAAGACGTGAAACATGCTAAAACATGTACAAAACTAGTGTAAAATCGAACCTCGATCGATGTAAATACCTAAAACATCACAAGAATATGAGATAAAAACATGTGTAATTATGCTTGAATCATAGCTACTAGTTTTTAGAAAAAACCACGATTGAGGATTTTTAAAATTTATAATCTTAAATTCCGAATACTTTTCAATCAAATTATTCTTTTAAAATCTGGGATGGCGAGGGATTGTATCCTGCCCCAATCCCTAATCAAAATGATCCCACTTAGTGCAGGCGGCATTTGCAACGTCAGACGTTTCTCAGTCGTTGATATCTCCCCGTAGAATCCAACGGTTGATGATAAACCCTAACTACGCCGTGCCACTTCTCCCCTCTCCTATTCTTTTAAAAGCTGCGCGTTTCTCTCAGTTGAGTCCCCTCTCTCGCAGCTGCACACAGCACATCCGCACCACAAATCGCTCTTTAGTTCGTCACCGCCGGCCACAGAAGGAGAGGCTCTTCTTCTGCGTTACTGCAGTAAGTTTCGGATCTTCAGGTTCCTTTTCCGTCCGTATTACAGATCTATTCTAGACGTTGCTTTCCCGTGCGATATAGTATCAATTTCACTGATGCTTGGCTGTAGCCGTTGTGTGCATGTGTTTCCAATCGTATAGTTTGCGGTTAGCTAAAGTAAAGGCGTTTTTCTTATCTTCGTTCCGTTTCGTATCTAGCTATGTCCTTCTGCTCCACGAATCTGATTTTTAGTAATTGAAACAATCAAGCAATCTTCAATTCTGTCATGGAGAAGTCTGTATGTAAATCCGGTCGGGTCAATATCACAGGAACGGCTTCCTGTTGCAATATTGTCTATTCTGGCGGTGTCATGGGCTGGATAGAGTTTCATGATTGAATTTTTGGTATACATCATTCTGATGGCGGTCTGATGAAGCATCTGTTTCTGTTTTCATATAATCTGGTGGTTATATGAGATGTAGATTGACTTTATTTTTTCATGAATTGCAGTTTTTTTATCCTCGTTAGATAAAAATGGGTAAGGAAAAGGTTCATATCAATATTGTGGTCATTGGCCATGTTGACTCTGGGAAGTCAACCACAACTGGACACTTGATCTACAAGCTTGGAGGCATTGACAAGCGTGTGATTGAGAGGTTTGAGAAGGAAGCTGCTGAGATGAACAAGAGGTCATTCAAGTACGCCTGGGTGCTTGACAAGCTCAAGGCTGAGCGTGAGCGTGGTATTACCATTGACATTGCCCTGTGGAAGTTTGAGACCACCAAGTATTACTGCACAGTCATCGATGCCCCTGGGCATCGTGATTTCATCAAGAACATGATTACTGGTACATCCCAGGCTGATTGTGCTGTCCTCATCATCGACTCTACAACTGGTGGTTTTGAGGCTGGTATCTCCAAGGATGGACAGACTCGTGAGCATGCTCTCCTTGCTTTCACCCTTGGTGTCAAGCAGATGATCTGCTGCTGCAACAAGGTCAGCGAGTCTCTTCTTGCTGCTCTTGTTAACTATCTATTCTTGAATCTTGATGCTACTTGGATATCGTACTAAATTTTGTATTGATGTTTACTGTAGATGGATGCCACCACTCCCAAGTACTCGAAGGCTAGGTATGATGAAATCGTGAAGGAAGTTTCATCCTACTTGAAGAAGGTTGGGTACAACCCAGACAAGGTTCCATTCGTTCCCATCTCTGGGTTTGAGGGCGACAACATGATTGAGAGGTCTACGAACCTCGACTGGTACAAGGGCCCAACCCTTCTTGACGCTCTTGACAACATCAACGAGCCCAAGAGGCCATCTGACAAGCCACTCCGTCTCCCACTCCAGGACGTGTACAAGATTGGTGGTATTGGAACTGTGCCAGTGGGTCGTGTGGAAACAGGTGTCATCAAGCCTGGTATGGTTGTTACCTTTGGTCCTACTGGGCTGACAACTGAGGTCAAGTCAGTTGAGATGCACCATGAAGCCCTCCAGGAGGCTCTCCCTGGTGACAATGTTGGGTTCAATGTCAAGAATGTTGCTGTCAAGGATCTCAAGCGTGGGTTTGTTGCCTCGAACTCCAAGGATGACCCTGCAAAGGAGGCTGCTAACTTCACCTCCCAGGTCATCATCATGAACCACCCTGGCCAGATTGGGAACGGTTATGCCCCAGTGCTCGACTGCCACACTTCCCATATTGCTGTGAAGTTCTCTGAGATTACTACCAAGATTGACAGGCGATCTGGCAAGGAGATTGAGAAGGAGCCCAAGTTCTTGAAGAATGGTGATGCTGGGTTCGTGAAGATGATTCCGACCAAGCCCATGGTGGTGGAGACCTTCTCCGAGTACCCACCTCTCGGTAGGTTTGCTGTCAGGGACATGAGGCAGACTGTTGCCGTGGGTGTGATCAAGGCAGTGGAGAAGAAGGATCCTACTGGTGCCAAGGTCACCAAGGCTGCTGCCAAGAAGAAGTGAACCGTGCAGGTTGGATATTTTGGTTTAAAGTTGAAGTGTCTTATGAATAATTGTTGTGGTCGCGGGAATGTAGTGTTCTCTTCGTTAACTTTCGGAGTGCCTTCTTCAAGCCTTTGTACCTGGTTATTAGGTACCATTTCTCAGAATTGGGTGCTTGATAGGCGGTGGCGGTGGCGTACTTTTTGAGAATTCTAGTCCTGTGTTCGAGTCGTTTGTAGGTTGCATTAACTGTTCCTTTGTCGAGGTGCTCTGCGTTCAGTGGAGCGGCTCAAATTTTTTGTTTTTTCATCTGCTGTTGAACAGGCGAATATTTGGCGCTCAATGTGTGGTTGATAAACATTTGTCTCATCACCCTTTGTTTTACTGTCTCGATTGACTGTTTGTTCCAATTTTCATTTGAGCTTTTAGGTTTACAAACCTTTATCTGGTGCAATAGGTCTTCTTGCAAAGGGACGTTGTCCAGAATTCAGTTTGGCAATATCCACCATCATTAATCTCTAGTGAAGTTGCAATGGGCTTGCCTTTGCCATCGTACCACCGAGCACTCTAATTCCGGAATCAAAGTCTTTCATCACTGCCATCTTGAACTTTCTGTCCTGCATTTAGAGGCCAAAATACCAATTTTTTGGTAGTTGACACATAAGCTTCAATCTCTTAGCTTCTCTCTCTAGGCCGTTGCGATCCTTGATTCACCGGCGGCTCTCCGTCGCGTGAGCTTCCCGATCGGAGCGGACACCTTTCTCCGGCCGTCTTCCTCCGTTCGATTGCCAAGCTCCGATGGTCTCCATTGGTCAATCGCGGGCTGATTTGTTCGGTATTGCTGAAGCAAATCGCCTGCTGTATATCGAACCGAAGCTCGTCGATGGCGGCCTGAGGATCCCGGAGGAGCTAGTGAAAGAAGGCGAAGCTCGGTGGAAGAACAGTCTTGTAGGACAGTTTCTCCATTCTACTCCGTCTGTGAAGCAGTTGCAGAGCTGGGCAAACAGGTTATGGGGCAATTCGGGCACTGTTAGGGTTTCGAAGTTCAGTGAGCAGCTCTTTTTGTTCCAATTTCCAAACGCGACAGTTGCAGATTGGGTCTTCACCAGTGGTCCATGGCACTTCAACAACGATATGTGTTTTCTTCGGCAGTGGTCTCCTGGCATCAGAGCTGTAAATTGTGACTCCACCATCCCTATTTGGATTTGTATCCAAGACCTTCCTGTTGAGTTTGCGACTGGTCGAATACTGACTCGTCTAGCTAGTATGATAGGTAAGCCACTGTGGTTTGACCAATCGACTAGGCTGGGTAGAAGAATGGGATACCCTAAAGTCTGTGTTGAAATGTCTATAGACTCGATGTTTCCTGAGACTCTGAAACTGGTCCCTGATCATAAGCCGGCTTTTGAAGTCAGCCTGGAATACTGCAATAGACCAGTTGGCTGTAAAAAATGTCGGGTGTTTGGGCATCAGTGTGATAATGTCGAAGAGGTAAGGGTTGAGGATCAAAATCAAGTCACTGAGGGTAGGGAGAATGTAACTGGAAGTGCTGGTCAGATGATTTTGGATTCAATACTGGCTTCAAAGGGCAAAGCTCAGGAGTCTGCTGAAGTTGCCTGCCACAACCTGAATCTGGCTGTAGCTAATCTGGTAAAATCGATTGAGCAAGGAGTACTATCTGAATGGCAAAGGGTAGGCACTGTTGAGCTGCCATCAGAAGGTGAACTGCATACAGCCATGGTAGAACAAGTCACCCCCCTGCAAGGGAGACATCCATCACCCCCGTAGCTAATAGGTATCAGAATCTAGCCGTAGACTCATTTGAGGTTGGGAATATTATGGTAAGCAGCCCAGTTCATAATTTGGAGGACTTTCCTGTATTAGAAGGTGGTGGAAAAGGGAAGGGTAAGCAAGGTAAGAAAGGGCCAGGTAGGCCTGCAAAACCTAAACCTAGGAAATGAAGGTGTTAGCTTGGAACATTAGGGGATTTAATCACCCCAGCAAGCAGAATCAGGTTTTGGAAGTGGTAGGTAGAGAGAATGTGGATGTTTTTGGAGTCCTGGAAACAAGGGTGAAAGAAGAAAAATCTAAAGAGATAATTGATCTGAAGTTTGGTAGATGGGACTGTGTACATAACTATGAATACTCAGTTCTGGGGAGGTTATGGATATTCTGGAAAAGAGATTTGGATTTTATTGTACTAGAAAAATCAGAGCAGTTTATACATGGTGAACTCAGGGGAGATCAGCCTATCAGGATCACTTTTGTGTATGGATCAAATGAGGAGGGGATTAGGCGAAGTCTATATCATCATCCTATATTACAGCCTGATAACAATCTGCCTTGGATAGTGTTAGGTGACTTCAATGCAATAAGAAACACTTCTGAGGCCTCAAACAACCCAGTTCAGTCACAGAGTATGGTTGATTTTGATGACTGGATAACTAGAATGGAATTGGAGGGAAGTGTTTTTGAGGGGCCTTGGTTTTCTTGGACTAACAAGCAGGTGGAGAATCCTATTGCTAGAAGGATATATAGGATCCTAGTTAATTCTAGGTGGTTGAGTGCATTCCCCAATTATGCAGTAAGCCTTATTCCCCCAAGGCTTTCAGACCAGTGTGGCTTGCTCATGAACACAGACATTCAGATAACTTCCTTACCTAAGCCCTTCAAATATTTCAACTGCTGGGAGACCCACCCTCACTATGCTGAGATTGTCAAAGAAGCCTGGGGTAAGGAGACCAGGGGGACACCTATGTTTGTTGTTTATCAGAAATTGAAAGAAGTAAAAAAGCAACTGAAAAAGCTGAATAGAGCCTCTTACTCAGAGATTTCTGAAAGGGTTCGTCTTGCTCAAGGTGAAATGGAGGGACTGCAGATAGAGGCTCTTCAGCAGCCTACTCTTGAGAGTTTCCAACAAGTAAATGAGTGTCAGGGAAGGTTACTTGGCCTCCTTAAGGAGGAGGAAGCAATTTATAGACAGAAGTCAAGACAACTTTGGGTGAAAACAGGAGACTTAAACACCTCTTTTTTCCATAATTCTGTAAAATCTCGCCAGGCTCGATCAACTATCAAGAAACTCATTTCAGAAGATGGAACTGTTCTAACTGATGCCAAGGAAATGAGTGGGGAAGCAGTGAGTTTTTATCAGAAGCTATTAGGCACTAAGAATCCAGATGTTTAGAGGGTAAACAGTGAGCTGATCTCTCAGCTTCTAGTCAACTTTCTTACCTCTGATCAAGCAGATTCTCTTTGCTGTCTAGTCACCAGAGAAGAAGTTAAAACAGCCCTATTCTCTATGGATGGGGATAAATCCCCTGGTCCAGATGGCTTCACAACCAGATTTTTCAAGCATAACTGGGAGATTTTGGGAAATGACATCACTGATGCAGTACTGGATTTTTTCAGAACAGGGAAACTTCTCTCAGAGGTAAACTCTACTTACCTTGCCTTAATCCCTAAAGTACAGAATGCTGATTGTATGAAGCAGTTTAGACCGATTTCATGCTGCAATATATTGTATAAGTGTATTGCTAAGGTCCTAGCAAACAGACTTAGAGAAGTGCTTCCTAGTATCATTAGTCAAAACCAGTATGCTTTCATTAAGGGTAGATTGATTAGTGATAATGTTCTATTGGCCCATGAGATGGTGAGGCTGTATAATAGGAAAACTATATCTCCTAGATGTGCCCTAAAGGTTGATGTGATGAAGGCCTTTGATAGTGTTGATTGGGGATACTTAAAAACAGTAATGGAAGCCATGAAAATTCCTACACAGTTCATCAAATGGATTGACGTCTGTTTACACAGTACAAAGTTGAGTGTATGTTTTAATGGGGGATTAGTTGGATACTTTTCTGCTCAAAAGGGACTGACACAAGGGGATCCTCTCTCCCCTTATCTCTTTACTATTGCCATGGAACTTCTCTCATGTATGTTCAACAGGGCTTATGCCATAAAAACACTTCCTCCCCATCCTCAAACCCATAGAATAGGGCTTTCTCACTTGTGTTTTGCTGATGACCTTTTGGTCTTCACAAAAGGGACCCCTGAAGCTGTAGAAAAAGCTAAGTCCATTTTGGATGCTTTCTATGTTGTATCTGGATTGAGATGCAATCCTGCCAAGAGTGAAGTGTTCTGTGGGGGTGTGGAAGCTAGGGTCCAGGCTCAGATTTCTTCTAGAACTGGGTTTGCTATAGGAAAACTTCCTGTGAGGTACCTGGGGATTCCTCTTATTGCTGGAAAACTGAATACCTCTGATTGTCAAGCTTTGGTTGAAAAGATAACTGCTAGGATCAGGGGCTGGAAGGTGAGAACTCTGACCTATGCTGGTAAAATGCAGCTCATCTCTGCTGTCATTTCTAGCATTACTCAGTACTGGATGGGGATCATTCAACTCCCTGTTAAGGTGATTAAAATGGTTGAGAAAGCCTGCTCTGACTTCTTGTGGAGTGCAGAGGAAGAGGGGAAAAGGGCCAAAGTTCACTGGCAGTTGATAGCTAGACCTAAGAAAGAAGGGGGGGGGGGGGGGGTTAGGTTTTAAAGATCTCAGGAGCTGGAATATGGCTTGCTTAGTAAGACATCTCTGAGCTCTTTCTTCTAATTCTTCTTCTCTATGGGCAAGTTGGGTTAGGCATTACCAGCTCACCTATACTTCCCTGTGGGACATACCTACATCTATGCCTTGCTCTTGGGCTTGGAGGAAAGTCTTGAAGATTAGGACCAAAGTTGCTCAACATCTAACAGTCAGACCTGCAGGTGTGTATTGGGGAGACTGTGTGATGCACAAGTTCTCAGTAAAAAAAGGTTTGGGAGACTCTTTGTGATAAACATGAGGCAGTGCAGTGGTTTCCATTGCTTTGGAAGTCTTATGGCACACCTAGAGATAAGCTTCTAGTCTGGTTAATCATCCTAAACAGAATTGCCACATTAGACAAGGTACAAAGGTGGAACAGTGCAGTGGTCAACCTATGCCCATTATGTTCTTCTGCGGAGGAATCCAGAGATCACCTTTTCTTTGGATGTGCTTATTCTAAGCGTGTGATGCAAGCAATGTTTGCAGGAAGGGATGTGGTGGGGGCCAATTGGGAAGGTTCCTTGGCAAATGCTATATCACTGTTCAGGGTGAAAAACTCTGTATCTGAGCGAGGAAGACTCCTTTGGGTAATGGTGGTGGCCGAACTCTGGCGGGAACGATGCAGAAGAGCTATGTCTGGTGAGGCTCTATCGGAAAATCAGCTACTGCAAAAGCTGCAAGGGCTACTGCACCTACTCAGGCATGGATTCCCTCAGGTGGAACTTGCTGTCTCGGAAGATCATGTCAGTAGTATAGTAGTGTAGCTTAGAATTGATTGGTTTTTGTGTTTCTGTCTCTTGTTTAGTTTGGTACTCAAAATTCTGAGTTGATATTTGTTGTAAACAGTGGTGCTGTTTGTTGGTTCCAGTTGGGGGGGTTTCTTCCTTTGAAAAACCCTCCTTGATGAATAAAATCTGCTTATTCATAAAAAAAAATACCAATTTTGTCAAATTTGAATTGGAGTATAACCTGATAATATGAATAGCTCGCACTTTAGTAGTCAAACCGATAGTGGGACGTTAAAAAACCGTTCGTAAACTACTACCTTAAAAACTATATATAATAAGTAGAAGGCTTATAATATAATAATTTAACAATTTAATCACTAAAATAAAATTTAATTTAATGGTACTACTTAGTAATTTTACATTATATATATGAGTTCACAATCATAGGGTTTGACAGTTTGTCACATACATCAACAATTAGGGATGGCAATGGGTCGGGTACGGTGCAGATACCCTATATCCGTTGCCCGCCATTCCTGCCCGCGGGTTGTACCCATACCCGGCCCACTAAGCTATACGGGGAGAGAATGCAGACCAAATCAAAACCCAATCGGGCATCGGTTAGCTCGCAGGTAAGGGCCTACCCGCCAACACCTAATAACACCTACAATTATTGATCATCAACTAACCTGTAGATATTAAATGAACTCAACAATGAAGGAAAAACATAAACATAATGTCATTCTAGCATTATTCACGAATTGCAAATCCAAAACCTGTCTGGAAATCGAGGAATCTAACCTTAAAATACCACATAACAGAACTTGTGAAAACTAAGAACTACAGTCTTAAAGTCTGAAACTCCCACCAACAATGATCTGCAATTCTCAGCTAATAATCAAACAAACCCAGAAACATGGGCACTAATAAATCAATGATAGTTCAAACACAATCACAAAGCCAAAAAGAAATAAGCATTAGCAGCAACAATCATTCTTCACGTCGCCATAACATCCAACAACATAGAATCAGTCCAGCATGTGTCCAGCAACCCATATCAGCCCAGCAGCAACCCAACATCAACCCAGCAGCAACCCAACAAACCATCATGGACGAAATCTGCAATATAATAGTTTCATTAACATTCAGCACTTGATTCAAATGCATTTTTCGTATAGGAAAGTTAGAGATTAAAAGTTAAAACACAAACCATGAGCTAGTCCAGCAGGTTGACATCAGCAGCAACATCATCTGCTCCGCCTGAATTCCAGCTCCATCTGTTACAAAGCAATGTGTTTAGTAAAGAACAGAAACCTAAGTTAGTAAACCAATCACAGCCATACAAGGACTTACCTGTGCTCTCTTCCACCGTGGCATCATCCATTGCCATAGCCGAGAACACCCCCTCTAGTGCTTTCACGTCCGAGGCAGTCACTACCATAGAATGGAAGAATTAGTTGACTTGGAAAGAATTAAAGAAATTTAAACCATGGCAGGAATTTAACAAGCATAATACCTTTGTTATCGTCCTTAAACCATGTTCTTAGTATCATCATGGCTTCCACTGTCATAGGATCAAGTCTGCTCTGATGGGGATCAAGCAGCCTCCCAGCATAACTAAATGCAGATTCAGATGCAACACTCGTAATAGGTACAACAAGTAGCAATTTCTTGCAAAAAGGATACTTGGCACCATTGAATTTCCACCAACCCAACAAATCGAAGTCCGGTGTTCTAGGATGAACATACTCAGCTAGATAGTGATCTAACTCAGTAGTAACCACAGTTGTTCTAGTTTTCTTTCTTTGGCTCACATATAGATCAAAATCCAGATCAGTGGCCGAACAAGCATTCGAACTAGAAGAAACAATCGAGTTTTTGGAGGATTTCCTTTGGTATTCAACAATCAAGTCAGCAAGCACAGATCTGACCCTTTCAGAAACAATATCGGTACTAGTAATACCAAATTTACCAGCATAGTACCCAACAATTTCCAACTTGTAACGTGGATCCAACGCAACAGCAACGACCAACAACAAATGAATATCATCCCAATATTTGGCAAACTTAGTCCACATATTCTCAGCCATAGAAACGATCATCAGATTAGGGTCACTTAACCATTCCATCAATCGTAACCTCAAGACACACACTTTAGGAAAAAACTGATTCGCTGTTGGGTAGTTTGAACCAGAAAAACCAAAGTAATGTCCTTGAAAACATCAAGTCTGTCTACCAAAACAGCAGCAAACTCCCACTGCTCGTTGGTAGGCAGAGAGTCATAATGAGGTTCTCTTATTTTCAATAAAGAAAACACATCCTTATACGGGATAGCACTAGAAAGCATCTCGTAGGTGGAATTCCAGCGAGTGGGACAATCTAAGACCAATTTCTTAGAAACAGGCAGTTTAAGTTGTTGGGCAGTAGCATGGAAAGACTCCACCCTCCTAGGTGTGCATGTCCAGAAAAACACACTTTCTCTTATTTGATATATTCCATCTTTCAGAACATCAAGACCATCCCTCACAATCAAATTAAGGATGTGAGCAGAGCACCTCATATGCAGAAGTGATCCATCCCTAATTAGATTAGACAAAACCAGCCTTTTTTAACTAGGTTGATCATTGAATCATTGGTAGTACAATTGTCAAGTGTAATTGTTGACAATTTACTATAAATATTCCATGATTGGAGGCACTGAGCTAGCTTTACATCCCACCTCTCACTAGTGTGTGGGGCAGGGAGGTAACCAAACATCAAAAGATGGTTTCTCAGATTCCAAAAGTTATCGATATAGTGGTCGGTCACAGCCATGTAGGCCCTTTTTTGGTTTGTGACAGTCCACATGTCATTGGTGACAGCTATCCTCCCTGTGTTTTCATCAATGACCTTTTGAAACTTAGACCTTTCTAAACCATAAATAGCGACTATGTCCTTATTTATGGTATTTCTGGCTGGGACATTGAAGAGAGGGTTTAAGGTGCAACAAAACCGTTTGAAGTAAAGGTGCTCAACAATAGAAAGTGGATACTCATGCACCAAGATCATGGTGCAGAGCTCCTTTCTAGACACCTCACTACTAAACTGAATGGTACTCATATCAGCTGTTCCATTGAAACTATAGTTAGCACCAAGAACTCTTTGACTCCCATCGTGTATTTTTTTTATGAACACATTTGTTCCTATGAGTCCTAAGATGTGAAGTACCATTAGTAGATTTCCCGGCCAACACCTTTTTACAGTAGTTGCATTTAGCTTTCAATACCCTAGAAACCATCATCCTAGTGAAGTGAGGCCATACATATGATTTTAATGACCTAGTAGCACCTAAGGGATGTTGAGGAAGAACATCTTCCTCAACATTATTAGGATTACCAGGAGGAGGGGCAACAACATCATTAGCAGGTGCATTCTCAACGTGTTGGGGTTCCATCTGTTTGAGAGGAAGAAATAAAAAAGTTGTTTTAGAAAGATGTCTACTGTCCAATTATGTTCTCATAATTTAAATCAGATTAGTAGTTTATAACAATCAACAGATTAGCATATTACATATTGAGAAGTTTACTTCATTAGAGTATTTTAGGATTACATATTAGAAGTTTACTTGACTCGAGTAGCATTACAAGTTTACAACAAATTACCATATTACATATATTCCTTTTTCAGATCACAACAAAGAACTATCTGATTACTAATTAGCATTCAACATCATTCAACAGATTATCATTCAGGGTCGACGACTTACCTATGCAGACTACAGTTGAAGCACCAGCTGCTTGATGAGATTCCTTATCAGAAATGAGAAATCTGCAAAAACAAAAAAGCAAGCAAAATTAGTGTCAATTGATGAACCGTAACCCACGATTCAAGGGTTTTGCTTGTAACTCACAAGCGAGAGAAAGACGTTGGTGTCTATAAACCTTTGATTTATTTGATTGATACGAAACTAATGCCAAAGTTACATATTTATAGACTCAAGAAAGTCTAATACGTAACCTAGTCCTACCCCTATTCGACTCAGGAAAACTTGACCCAAAAGGAAAACACCCTAGCCCAAACCGAGACTACCCACCCAAAATGTTCTCATCAATCCTTCCCCCTCGAAGAACCTTGGTCCCCTAGGTTCTGAACATGCCGAGACGTGGAGGTCGACGATAAAAGCAGTTGCAGCTCTTACGACGACCAGACTTGCGTCGCTTCCGGAACTTCCAGTTTGCATATCGACCTTTGTTTGTCTTCCTTCTGATGACTAGGGCATGGATTGCTAGCCACATTATTGGGACTCTAAACTCGGCAGTTTGAGGTGCAACATACATACAAAATCCTTTGGCAAAATGGCTAGTGCTTGGGCAAATAAAATGAGGCTTGATCGGCCTCCATAATCATCATCTTGGTCCGATGCAAATTCTCTTCTTGTGTGTTTAATTTGAGGGATAAGCAGTGTCCTACGCAAACCCGAGCCATCATATTCCAAACGTCCATCTGACGCACGCTGCATCGACGGCGGCCTTTCAGCCGAATCTAAAAAGCTTCAGTTGCCACCAACAACACCGCTTCTATTGGTCCCTGTTCCAGCCTCGATCTCCTCCTTCGTACAGCTTCCAGATTGATAGGTGAGAGCCTCGTCGAGGTGGTGACCACCGCGGCGCACTGTTTCCTTCCCATCGCTTCTATATCGTTGGGTGAGAGCCTCGGCTAAGTGATAATCACCCTTGCGCACTGTTTCCTTCCCGTCGACCTCGTTGACAGAGATCTTAATATCCCCCGCTGCCCTGATTTCATTGGCGTCGACGCGGGCCACATCGTCTTCGTTGCGCTCTCCTCCGGAGACGATTGCGCGGTTGGCGTTCAGCTCTCGTTCAAAGCAGAATGTCGTGAACCTTTCACGCGACTTTGCTAGCTGCGCACAAGCAACTTTGGTCTGCTCGAGTGCCATCTTTGCGTTCCGCGCTAGGGTGCGGTACGGAGCTAGGTCAAGAACCATGTTACCTTTCCCAGTAGGATGCGCAACCAGGCTTTGATACCAATTGATGAACTGTAACCTACGATTCAAGGGTTTTGCTTGTAACTCACAAGCGAGAGAAAGACGTTGGTGTCTATAAACTTTTGATTTATTTGACTGATACGAAACTAATGCCAAAGTTACATATTTATAGACTAAAAAAAGTCTAATACGTAACCTAGTCCTACCCCTATTCGGCTACCCCTTCCCAAATACAAAAGGAAAACACCCTAGCCCAAACCGAAACTACCCAAAGCCCAAAATGTTCTCATCATTCTGATTTAGGTTTAGCTATGAACAACACAAAAGAAGATTGTAGATTACCTAGGATGAATGCAGTTTAAGAACCAACTGCTTAATTTGATTCCTGCTCAGAAATGAGAAATCTGCAAAACCACAAAAGCAGGCAAAATTAGTGTTTCTCATTTAGGTTTAGCTATGAACAACACAAAAGCAGATTGTAGATTACCTAGGATGAATAAACTAGAAGAATCGGCTGCTTGATTTGATTCCTGATCAGAAAGGAGAAATCTGCAAAAACACAAACCATGAATTAACAATGGACAAATTGATTATTACTAATTTCGATCTAAGCAATTACAGATTTCACACTTCATTACTAATTTCAATCTTAGCATTTACATTAGCAATCTTAGCTAGGACATTAACAATGGACTAGCTCCACTATTAAGGTGAGTAATCGTCAGACTTACCTCAATAGACAGCAAACACCACGTTGAAGCAGAAGCACCAGTCGCTAGATGGGACTCACGAACAACAATCTGCAAGAACGAAAGAGCATATGTGGATTGTTAGGGTTGCGTATCTACCGAACTAAGCAAGAACCAATAATAAACAATGAAACAAACTATTGTCAAATAAACTTACTTAAATGAAGGAAAGGGTGATTCAGAAATCTGGAAGGCCAGGGTTTCTAGTTTACGAGTTCGATGAAGGATGAACTGCAGATGAACAAAATAATGAATTCTCGTCATTTATTTATACATGTACAAGCGAAGCAATAACAATTAGCAAAACTAGATTAAGGTAAAAATATAGAATACTTATCTCGATCTGGCCATCTGGGAAAGAAATCGTTTGCATGCATGATTGACGATTCAAAGAGGATTTCTGTCGATCGAGACATTTTAGGTGGCTGTAGGGTTGATTAACAGCAAGATGTGGGGTTTTTTGGGATAGGATCATCGATTTTCGAGGGAGAATCGAAGAGAAATGAGGAGAAATCGTCGAAAACTATTGGATTTTTGGCTGGAAATTGGCGATTCATAGATTTTTACAGAGAAAACCGGGGAAGAAAGAGGAAGGCAGCTGCTGAAAATGAGCTTCGTCCAAACCCTAGCGAAAAATTTACATTTTATACCCCATTCCATACGTCGTCGTTTCGCTACTGGGCGGATACGGGGTGGGTATCACAGGATTCGCGCCCAGCCCATCACCGACGCGGGCCGTGGGTCTGCCCGACACCGCCAAGTTATCCGCCATCGCGGGTTTCGACCCAATACACACGGGCGGGCCCCGATGGGTCTGCCATCCCTATCAACAATCAAACCAAAATCTAGACCTAGGATTTACCAACCTAAATGAAGGAAAGCTACTTCATAGAGAAGAAGAAAAAGAATATAGTATGTGGTTTAGAATCTTCAATCTTAAACTTCTAGGGGATGATCTTCTCGCTCCAATGGTGATTTGCACCTCCAAAATTAGCTCCAAGAATCGCCCCTATGTAGCTCTCTCTCTCTCTCTAGAATCGTCCCTTGTGTGTTTTGGGGTAAAAAACCAAATACCCCTCTCAAAAAATCATTGTTGTCAATTTATACTCGTAGCCGTGCAAGGATCACGCTCTAGTGTAGTCTTTCACGGTCGTGAAGTGTGCAAGCAGTGATATCAGCTGAAAACATATCGTTTGAGCATACTTCGCGATTTTGGTGTTATTGTCGCTCCCTCGGACAGTAAAGTGTGCACAACCCGCGAGATGCACTAATCCTGTTGGAAACTTGCTTTGTTCAAGGTTCTGGGGAATTTTCACGCCCTCCAAGCAGTGAACATTTGCTCTGGTCCGTGAACCATGCAACTCCTTCACTTTTTGACTCGTTTTGACCTATGAATTTCTAGGAACTTGTCGTCGAGCTTCCAACACGTATTAGGGTCTGAAAATTGACAAAAAAAGCACAACCTAGTGTAAAATGGGTTAAGAAAAGATTATTACTGAATCAAACAATCAAGATATGAAGGGATAAAATATGTGTAAATAGTCTCGAATCATTGGCAGTGATCTAGACATGTCGGATGCCATAGCTCCTTAACTATACTACGATCAAAGAAGCAATTGCTAAGATCTTTCATGGGTCCACAACACACGGGGCATTAACTAGATGCAACCAGCTTACAATAGTGTTGGACCCCTCATGCTGGTCGGAAGCCTCTTATGGCTCTCCAGAAGAAGAATTTTAGTTTTGAATTTTTGATGGAATTGAAATACAAAATTCGATAAAGGTGGTATCCAGTTTTCACCATGTATTTTGACCGGATTTGTCATAATGCCAAAATAAGTTTGTTCATACATTAGGTAAATGGGAGGGAGATAAATAGGAATTAGACTTCTGCCATTTAAAATAGAGACTGTAAACCTATTATGAACAAATAGTTGGTAGGTTGTTCTAATCTATTAAATAACATCTAATCATAATAACACACATATATCGCCCTTATTAAAAATAATAGAGACGGTAATCCATATTAGTGTTTTAATTGGATGTAGTTGAGACAATGATATAGGATACCATTAGACAGTGGCGGATCCAGGGGGTGGCCAACCTTACCCACATTAGTACACTTGGTTGACCTTCTTCGTTCTACCACTTCAGGTCCCAATCATGTAATAACTCTATTTTCCACGGGGTAAGATAAAAAAACGAGATCAGACTTGTTCCTGGAATCCAACCTACGACTTAAGCCCTATTGGTTGAGTGACTTCGTTCCTCTCCCTGGGTGACAAGTTAAAGAAATTGGGAGGACATATGCAATGAGTTCAACAATAACGGGCCACGACCTATCCTTCCTCTGGGCACATAGCTACTGTAGCACTTCTAAATCTTTAATTTTTAGATATTCGGTCCAGTGCTAATCGGGTCACGACTCAGCTCTCTCTACATCTTTTCAAATATAGCCTAGTAATCTACTATGTTATGGATCCACCACTGCCATTAGGTACTTGGGAATGGCACCGACCCTTAGTGAAGCGCTGGAAGGGGGTCCGATGGTAAGGTCTGCAACTATTCTATCGACACACTAGAGATATGTGTATTTCTAATGAAGAGTTCAGCGTCGAGCAAAGAAAGTTGGCAGACCGACGTCCTGTTTTGCACTTGATATGGTTGGATATCATGTGTTCAGAGTCTAGAGAAGAAAGTTTAACAAGACCAAAGACCTGTCTCAACACTCTTTTCTCTGACCAAGTACATGTATTTGTTTCAAAAGCTATGTTCTCTAGCTTTGGCCACGCAGAAGGAGGCGGCTTCTGCTTTCTACCACAGTTAAGTATATTGTTGTTATGGTAGAAAGCATGCACACTCACAATGAAGAAAAATTCAGTCTCCAAATTAACATTAGGGCAGTATATGTGAGAACCCCGCTTCTAGGGATTCTCGATACTGATCTTCGGCACCCGTGAGATTGAGAATTAGGGTTGAGATTAGCGATTTAGATGAGAAGAACATAATAGAATTGGGAATCGGCCGAAGCCTTGGACTAGGATGAGACGAGAAATTAGGAGTTGAGAGGAGAGTTTAGGGTTTATGATACTTTTCGTAATATTGTTCTTGATTGATTATGACGTAAACCCAAAGTACATATTTATAGGAAAATACTGGAAAACCCTAATAATAATCCTAACACGACTTAATCTCTACTAACCATAATTATAATTATCCTACCTAATATAATAATAGAAACCCCAAATAAATGTGTTTCTGACAATCCATCCCCATTGAAAACAACCTTGACCTCAAGGTTGTAGTTGACTTCTACCTCCTTGACCTTCCACTTTTTTCGTTTCCAATTGCGCTCGATCCCTTGAATGAACTCTTCTCGCGCAACTCCCACTTTCCTTGTTTCTTCCCCACCCACGTGACATATGTCACGTTCTCCATCGCTAGACAATTCTTCTTTCTCTCTTGCGAAGTCCACAAAATAAAAATCGGAGAATTGTTCTTCCTTGGGCCCTTTCTTATAACCCGCCTCGAAAGATTCAATGGACCGCTCCATCGATTTCGCCATGGGCTTGGTGTTCAAAATAAATTCTTTTGGGATCCATTCTTCTTCAAGTTAGGTTGAGTGAAGCTTTATTGAGAGCCCAAGCTTTAATCCATCGAGGCCATCACTTTCCTTCTTCATGATATTTTCCTGCAAATTAAAGCCTACAAGATAGTCCACGGGAAGCCCAAATATCCCTTGGAACTCGGCCCACCTTTTCTCAAGAGGCAGGGGACGAAGTGGGCTTCTCCCTTATCTGCTGCTAGCCCATTTTTTTTATCTCACTTGGCTGGCCCAATAGAAATCTGCCCAAATGGAGCCCAACATAGTTTTTATTAATCCCAAGCCCGTGATCTTCCTCAATAATTTGGCTAGCAGATCTCAGCCCACATCTGAGCTCTCGCTCGAGCCCATCTCGAAGCTCCTCTACAGCTTGTTCCAGCTCAAGTTGCGGCCCATTCGGCCAAACACATTGGCCCAACTCGAGCCTGGCGATCCGAGTGATGCAGCCCAGGAACTTGACCGTGGCACGCCCGACTTGTTGCTGCTGCTGCTCAACCTGAACCGAGGTCCTAGGGTTCCAGAGATAGACGACGACGCCGCCGCTCTGGTTCTCTTCTGTCGGCGGCATTTCCGTCTTGGTCGCCGGCTTCTCCGGCGATTTCGGATTCCGTTGGTTCGCCGGATTTTCCTCCTCCGTCGCCATCTTCCTCCTCGACGACAGCCGCTTCGCCTCGTTCTCTGGCAATGCTTTAGCAACCGCAACCTCTTCCTTCTTCTTCGCCTGTGAGCTCCTTCTCGGCGAACAGTCTGCCGTCGCCAGCTTCGTCGCTTCCTCATTCTTCGACGAAGGCCGGCCTTTCACTCTCATCTCCTCTCGCGCAGAGTCATCCTTCACCCTCTTCTTTGCTGCCTCGCCGTCCATCTCCTTCTTCGGCGTCATCAATGTCGATTGCGAATAGCTTCGCCGCGTTTCATCATCCGCCGCCTCCTCACTTACCGACTCCGCCACTAAAAACATCATTGATCGCGCGCCCTTCTTCTCCTTCTTCGATTCCATATCCAGGTCTGCAGCTGGCGATTTGATCGACAAAAACGGGGCGAGACCTCGACGCTCCTCTCCTCCGGCGGCGAGTCTTTGTCCCGACGGCTAGGAGTCGATCTCCCTAGCTCTTTAGTCTCTCCCCGAGGAATCCTCGACTCTGGCGAGTTCTTCCGTCGTTCGATCTCAAGGCCATCTCTGGCCCCTTGCTTCTTCTTCCTGAAACGCCAGTCCACGATGTGACCCGATGCTGACCTCTTCTCCAGATCTTGATCGCTGGTGTCAAGGTTGAGTTTTCCTGAGGAGGCATCTCCCTCGGTTGGCGATGGTTGTGCGACGCTTGCTGCAACGTCAATGGTGGCTCCCAACGACTTGCACATTGATGGCATTGTGGAGGGTGTGGAGTCGTCGACAGAAATGAATTGCTTAGCCAGCTGTTGCTCCCGGCTGGATCCCGAGATTGGCGACAACGTCGGCTCGATTGGGAACGCAGGCTGTTCCAACCAATCTTCGAAATCCAGTTCTGTGATCAGCTGTTCGATTGCAGTGCAAGCTGCGGGTGAAGGTGTGATCGGACTCCTCTCCGTTCTTGCAGCCTCCAACTTCATTAAGAACCCTGGTGAGTTCTATGATTGAGGGAACTTCAAATCTCGACATGGTTCCGGTACGAGTGCCTACAACCGGGCTCTGATACCAATTGTGAGAACCCCACTTCTAGGGATTCTCGATACTGATCTTCGGCACCCGTGAGATTGGGGATTTAGATGAGAAGAACATAATAGAATTGGGAATAGGTCGAAGCCTTGGACTATGATGAGACGAGAAATTAGGAGTTGAGAGGAGAGTTTAGGGTTTAGGATACTTTTCGTAATATTGTTATTGATTGATTATGACATAAACCCAAAGTACATATTTATAGGGAAATACTAGAAAACCCTAATAATAATCCTAATACGACTAAATCTCTACTAACCATAATTATAATTATCCTACCTAATATAATAATAAAAACCACAAATAAATGTGTTTCTGACAGTATAACTATCAGAAAAATGTATGAGCACAGTGAGTTAACAAAATGGAAGAACTCTGTCAAATGTTCACAGAGCCTCGATACTTGATCGTTTTAACAGCCAGAATCTTCACTCTTGCTGCGCTAACGAAATTCCAAACGACTGAAAATGTGCACGGCATCCCTAATAGATAGCTTAACAGCTCTACTCGTCACTAGAATAGTCAGGGGTTCCAGAATCGAGGTTGCCTAGTAATAAAGCCATTTGGAAAGGTGACAAGCTATCCTCATCATCCGAAAAGTTCAAATCTTCAGGATCGAGATACTCCATATTAAACGGATCACAGAAGTCATCATAATCAAGGAATTCCGGATCCCACGGATCATCATCATCATCATCATCATCATCATCCGCCATTCTCTGCATATACAATGCCGGAAAATCCACAGCATTGATGTTGCGGGGAAAAGGCCTCCGTGGAGGTGGTCTGTGATGTTTCCACACATAAGAGCCAGGCTTGACATGATGCTGGAATACAACAGAACATCACATCCATTAAAGGAGTCATGAAGCTAACATTCTCCTGAATCAAAACTCAACAAAGGACAAAATGGCACAACATACTGGAAAATGAGAAGGGAAAGTGTTTGACTAAAAACTGATCTCGATATTATTTATAAGATTACTACAGCACAAAATGTAAATGAACATATCATGACCCTAACCCCTTAAATGGTGAAGCAAAATCATGTAATTGAGAAGTCAGGCTGGTATGTAGGTAGCTCATCAACTGAGAAAGAAAATGCAGATCAGAACTGAAAAGCATGTGAGCATATTGTAGCTAATGAATATGGCAGACCAGAAACTAAATCATCCACCTCTAAAATCTGTAGTTGCGATAAGATGTCAGGCCTAGTTCCAATCATCTTCATTTAGCTGGTCAGTCGGTAACAGAAAGACAAGCAGATGGACACCACTTGCATATCATACGAGGTATATCGTCTAGGAAAATTCATATCACATATGAGAGACAACATAACATGTGGAAACTTCACACACAAATATATTAGAAGAAAATGATAAATATTGAATGCAAAACAGAGAGTTTCATGAGCTCACTGACTTCAATAAGCAGCATACTTAGCATAACCTGTTCAGACAGTAATACTGACAAAAGCATGACAATGGACGTTGCAGAATTAAGAATTGGAGTCTGATTTACCTTGTAAAAGCAACTGGAGCCAAATGGGCAGTTTCCATTTCCAAACTTGAAGTGTTTGCAATCGATTGAACTGTAAGATGGAAAATGTGAGCATAGATTAAGATTAGTTCTTTTAACCATAAAAAATGTAGTCAGTATGGTCTGGACATACAAAATCTATTCCAACAAGTTAAAACTGATCTCATAGGAGAATCAAGCAACTATAACAAACAGAAAAAAAACTTGCCTAAGCTTTGCCTTGTAGTTCTCGATGATTTCCATCTTCTCTTCTTGGGAGAAATACCAGATCACACTGGGAACCACAAAATAGGATAGCTTGCGACATACTGGGCACGTCCTCGACATAGAACTAGGTTCCACTCCAGAGGTTGGTGAGCTGCTTCTCCAATTCCTAATACAAGCTATGCAGAATGGATGATCACAATCAGACAGTACACCAAACTTTCTTTGTGCTACCGCCGGCTTCAACAGCACTTTATCCAAGCACACACAACATTCTATTTCTTGGCTGCGCTTCAATGCATCAAGGTGCTTTTGCATCTTCTCACAAGTCTTCATATGCTCCTCCCTTTCTTCAGGCCTGAAAGGATGCAAACAATGGTTCCCACAGGTGGGGCACAAGTCGCCATAGATATGTGGACACTGGTCTCCTCTAGGGCAATTTCCAGCGGCAGCAGCATAAGAACAAAGCGGACGATCTGATGGTTTCAAATTTTGCAGCTCTACGGAAACATCAGGTTCAACGAACTCATTGTCCGCAGATTCCAAATGCCATGGTGGATGATTGGATGGAACGAAAGGTCTGCTGCCAGGAGAGAGCTCTGAAGACGAACCTTGAACTTTTGTAACACCAAAAGGCCCAAGCCTTGCACCCCCAGAAGGAAGAGTAGTAGTTGAAGAAGAAGAAGCAGCACAATGTGGCCTGGAAGCTTTAACATGTTCATATCGGCAACGACTCCCATAATAGCATTTCCCCTTCTGATAATAGGTGCAAATCTGCACAGGAATTTGGAGTAAATAATCGAATTCCAAACATAAATCTAAAACAACAGAGTGGATTCATTTAACATACTTACATTGCTTGAAGGATCTTTCCAGCCATGGGAATATTCACAATTCTCCCCTTTCAAGCATGCCCCATGGGCAAAGAACTTGCACAACATCCTAGAGCAAGTAGATTCAGCAAGGATTATCAATCAGCACAAATGAAAGCGAAGATACCAAAAGAAAAGGAAACTGCCAAGAGAAAAAACAATAAAACGAAGAAAGCGTCGTGATAGCCAAAGATCGTTGGTAAACAAGCAAGCAGAAGAAGAAGAAGAAGAAACAAACAAGAGGGAGCGAGGTTTTGAGTAGAGTCACCTTTTAGACATGGAAACGAGAAGTTCTGAGGAACTCCGATCAGCGGAAACGTGGAAGAAGTGAAAGGGAGGAAGAACGAAACAGCAGAACTGGAAGCAGATGATACTCAGGCGCAAAAATTTGATCTCAATTTCAGTGGTAATCCTCCTGATCAAAGAGCGGTGTTAAAGCAACGGAAGCTCGGCGGCACGATGTTTCTCTCCGAGCTCCGGCGGCAGAGCATACGCCTTCCTCTCTTCCAACTTTCCTTATTATGTGGCGGAAACTCTTCAATTACTTGCCGCTAACCGCTCCTTTCTCCCTTTATTATTTAATTATTTTTCTTCTTCACCGCGCGAGAGAGAAGGCCGGGCGGCCCTTTCGGCGGCCCGTCGCGACAACGGTCTTTTTGATTGGTTCTTCCTTTCGGCCCATGGTAACAAGGCAAGTCTTCTCGGCCCAGTCCACTTCAATAATTAAGAACATAGAATCAGGGTCCAGTTTGACTTATCTCGAATTCATCCAACACTAGTTTGTTCAAGATTATGGGTTTAATTACAAGATTGATCACTGAGATTACAAAAACGTTCATGTTTGCTCACTCGAAATATTTAAATCTATTCATAGTCACTAGATTTAATAAAACAATTCAAGTTTGGTCACTCTTCGTCCAATTCCGTTAACTTTTGCTTATGTGGCGGTCAACCCTAAAAGTTGGCCGTTAAATGTATGACATGTCAATTAAAAAATAAATAAATAATTCACCTCATTTCTAACTATTAAAAAAATAAAAGAAATTAGAAACTATTAAAAGTAAAAACACGTCAACGATTATCTCACAAGCAGCAATGGAGAATCTTCTCCTCCCACCGGTCCCTCTCTTGGACCGCATCACCATCATCCAACTCCAACTCCATTCGCGTTGAAACCTCCCCTACCGTCGTTATTCTTCCAAGTTCCAACGGAGTTTCTCTGTTCCATTTTCGGGTCACTGATGACCGACCTGGTCATTGTCTCCGCCGGTCACACCTTCGACTAAGTCTGCCTTCAAGCCTGCCACTCCCTTGGCTTCTCCCCTGTTCTCTCCGGCAGCGACGACAACAGGTCCTTCATCCCTGATTTCTCCAACGTCGTAATCCCCAATCTCGCTCTCAAATTCGCTATCCTCAACTGGTGCAATAGCCACTCCAAACTCCAGTTGTGACAGGGGAAACCCAATTTGAAGGAAAACATGAGAGCAATTGAAATAGGGAAAACCAAATCTGCAAAACAAGGGAGCCCCAATTGGTGAACAGAACAATTGAAACAGGGAAAGCAACCGTAACTCGCGTCTCAACGAGCTCGGAGGAATCCGCTAGTAGCTCCACCCTGCTCGTCCAGTTCGTCGATCCCGATCTAATTACCAACCCAACCCATATGCTACTCCTCCCGTTCCGCTTCATCCTCATCGGAGGCCGACGAAACAGTACTTGACCTAGTGGAGGAAGCGCTCCTAGCCAAGCTGAAGAGTGCACAAGTGTTCGAAATCGAAGAGGCATTAATTTCTTTCAGGAACATGACCAGGACGAAAAAAGGGAACTTTGTCTATTTCTCCACTCCGACGGTTCTCTCCGCCTTGCGAACCCTAATTTCGTCCATTGTATGGTTAGGGGCTTCTCCCTCCGTTAATTGATGTGTTGAAGGGTGGGTTTCCCGAGGTGCAGGATCACGCCGCCGGGGCGACTTTCAGCTTGGCCCCCGAAGATACAACAAGACGGCGATCAACGTGGGCGACGGTGAGGCAGATCAGGATCTCGATCTGAGCACTGATCGAGAACTTGGATGGGTCGTTCGGGGGAGGAGGATGTGGTCGGGTCCTGTTGGGGATTTTTAAGTCGGCTCATATGGCGGGTCGGGTCGGGTCCTCTTGAAATTAATTCATTTTTATCTTTTTAATAGTTAGGTATGAAGTGGAAAATTTAAAATTTACTTATTCTATTATGTTTTAATTGACATGTCATACATTTAACGGTCAACTTTTAGGGTTGACCGCCACATAAGCAAAAGTTAACGGAATTGGAAGGAGAGTGACCAAACTTGAATTGTTTTACTAAATCTAGTGACTATGAATGAATTTAAATATTTCGAGTGACCAAACATGAACGTTTTTCGTAATCTCAGTGACCAACCATGCAATTAACCCTAAGATTATGGCTGAACCAGGGCTGAAATTTGAACACTTCTGATATTGCACTACACTTTTCTACTTTCTTTTCCATCTTTGAACAAGAGCAATTTGAGACGAGACATGCTTCCTATTTACAGGTTGTTGCGTCCACTGGACTTGTATCAACGCCAAAAGAGACGATCCGGGGAGGGGGATCAAATTACAGAATCGTCTAATCGAGCCATGAGGTTGAAATGAAATTGCATATCATATGGCTAGCATCACAGATCTCACACTGCAAAACAAGACTGCAGTCTTAAGCAACACCAAGTGTATAACCACTTTGTCTATCGTTTCCCTTGCAAAGCGGATCCATATCAATTCCTTGCCGAGTGGTGCATCATGAAATAAACCTCGGCCGTTCAAAAATATAACAGAAAAATCCAAAAATTACAGAGGAAAGAATTCTGGAGCTGCTTTTATTCTTGGAATGAAACCCTCAACCAACCCTCCATTTTGACAAAGGCGGTGTATCTAGAGATTTCAGTAGCCCCAGTAGTCGTTTCGGATTTCATCGTCAAACTTCTTCCTAAGCTCAGGGTGCTTCTCGAAGTACTCATCAGCAGTCATGGTGCTGATTTTTTTCTGTTCAAACACAATTTTAAAGAGCAGAGAGAATAAACAGTGAGGAAAACTGCATAGCCAAGCATATTTGAAATACAAGAGTCAGGAAAATCGTCCATTGTCACCACCTTCATTTCTTGGACTTCGAGAATCTCCTTTTCCAATCGTTCTGATTCTTTAACTGATTGTTGCTCCGCCTCTTTGAGTTCCACCATCTAAAAGTCCAGATGTTTAATTTTATCAAATGGCTAAAGAACACTGTTGAACTATTCAACCATAGAACTAATGACACAGCAAGGACAACGGCAGATTAACAAACGAAAAAATCAGGATTAGCATTGGGTTTCCTGTTTGTTCATGTGCTCACCAGTTGTTCAAACTTGGGTTTGTATTCAGGAGTGACTTTGTCTACATACTTTGGTATCTCAATGCCTGCAAAAATAGTAGAGACGCAAAGTCACATCAAATTACAGAAACAGACACATAAGAGATACTTTTCTCTAAGAAATCCACAGCAATCCGTTCTATAAGGCACCCCCATACAAAGCAAGCACAATTAAGTGTGCCGCACGTAATTCTATTACTAAACTTCAAATATAGTAGCTAAGAGATAAGAAGCACCAGTTAAAGAAATAAGAAAGCTTCCACATTCCTAAGCTTTTCAACCAGTTTGTAACAGCTACTTGAAACTTGAACAGGTGAGGGATTGTGAAGTATCCTAGATAACAACTGTGTCCTCTCATATATTTCATGAGAATAACTTGGAATCAAGTGGAACACGAGGAATCTCCTCACAGAAGAAACACGAGGTTTTGCTTCCTTCTTCTTTTTCCTTCTTTCCCTCCCTGCCTCCTCTACATAACTCATTACAATTCGTTGCAAGCCACAAATGACAACTCCTAAGACACGGAGATGCTATTTGAAAAGACAGGAGATAATGAAACCCCTAATTTTAGGCTCTCTGCAATTGAACCTTTTTGGACATATATTATTTGAGGACCTAATGACCCCATTCAAACGGATATAGATTCAGGAAAGCGGAAGCTCAAAATAACACAAAACCAACATAATTATGAGCACACACAGGGAAGACCATATAAATGCACTCCCAAGAAGTAGTTCAGCCGAATACAGTTTACAGCTCTTAAGAAGTTGTAAACATACTGTCATATGCTTCCTTGTACATATCAACCAAGCGAGAACCAATCCCCTTTCGGTAATATTCCCAGTCTACTGGTTCAGGTTCCTGAAAATTCATAGTGAAAAACATTCACATAAGTTTGCGCTCCAAGTGCTTCTAGAAAAGATTGAATAACTACACTATGAGACTACCTCCAGTTCTACAGACATTATAATCACAAGTCCTAGCAATAAAGAAACCAAGCTCACAAATTGAGAGAAACGAAATATGAAATCACTTTTAGAGCAGCTGGAGACAGTGGTGAGCTGCATAAAGTGTACAACAACATAAACAACAAGCTTCAATAACCTTAGTATATCGATACAGCATAGAACCATGCACTTGCTACATCCCAGAGAATCAAAATCACATTCTTTCAGCAATCAGTATATCCCTTTAAGTTATTTCTCATCTTCTCTCCTCTTTTCAGATAGAAAATAATATTCAACAGATTCACTTGCATTTGCTCGGTACTTTAAATGTATAATTACATGAAGCAAGAAGCTGTTGCCTTGTACTACACATAGCAGGAATTCCACGCTAACCAGGTTTCAAAGAATCAGAAAGTAACAAAACCTACCAAACCCAGCAAAGAGTAGACTTCTAATCTAGCTAAGCAATCTCACACTAACCCACTATTCAATCGATCTGTTTTTTTAACTTTTTTACAATCAATCCCCACAGAAACTATAGGAAAACCAACTTCATTGGTTTTATAAATTCCCGAAGGCCAGACCACATTAATGGATAGAAAACATTCCTATTGTTAGACCATACTTATCCATTGGCCCTAAACTTTTCACCAAATGACTACCAAAAGCCCTGAAGATGCTATCATACGAATCTTAAACAGTAGCATACAGAACTAAGGCTAATCCCTAAGCATCATTCCGTAAATGCCGGAAGCGCATACATTCAGATCTAGGCCCAGATTGCAGAAACCCTAGCAAAAGGAGCGATCGGAAACCGGAAAAGAGGATGCCCGAAATTCACAAAAAAAAAATTAGATGCGGAGGAAAATGGAGGGGACCTGGCTGAACTTGGTCTGGAGTTGAGAGTTAACGTCGTCGAAGGCGCGGCGGAGATTGGCGAATTCCTTGCGAGCCTCGTCGGTCACAAGGAGCTTGGCCATGCCTTCCCAATCAATGGTCTTTGACGCCTTGAACGCCACATCTGTCACCTTCTTCGCAACCCCGCTCATGGTTCCTCGGCGATTTGCCTTGTCTCACTTCCTGGTGTTGATGATCACCTCGAGCTTCTCCGACTCCGTTTAACGGCTGGTATCGCAGCGGAAAAGAAGAGATGGGGAGTTGTTTCTGTATAAGGAATAGCCAATGGACAATGGTTGGTAACTCGTTGGCTCAATGGCTGAGTTGTTTTGGGTCAAACTCAAAACCCATCCTGCGTGATGAAAGAAGGTTGGGCCTCCAGTTGGACATGAGCGAGGACCACAGGCCCATATAATTATCTTTCTTTTTCTTTCTAATCTTTCTTAAAATATATTAAAGCAGTTTAGAAAATCAACCCTCTCCACGTCAGCCTCGCTGGCTTCTCCGCTCTTCTCGGTAATTACTGAATTTTCATTTTCTTTTAATGTTTCCCTCTTCCGAACGGTTTCTTTTGATCTTTTTGTTCTTTTCTTTTAATTTTGTTTCTCTTCTCCGTTTGCTAACTGCCAATTATTTGGACAAGGCTTCTTTCCTTTTAAGAATTCTGCTTCCACAGTGCTTTTCTTTGTTTTTTTTTGTCCCTTTCTTTTGGTTCCGTGAGAGATGAGAGAGAGATTGTAGGATAATTTATTAATATTTTTTATGATAATTAGTTAATCATAATTATAATTATTTACTCATTCAAATAATAATAATATGTTTTCTAAATTATTCTAATAAATATTTGTGTTACCGAGTACCGAGTGAACTTTCTACAAAACTTAGCATATCCACAAAAGTCAAAGAACCTTTCCATCCCCTCAAAATTTTCTCTCATGCACATAATCTCGCTCATTCTCAACACTTGACAATTTTTTTATAACATCATTTTTATTTAAAGACTCAATCTAACTTTCTTCGAGATTTCTAATCTACCGCATCAGTTGGATTTTCAATTGCTAGATGTCTGTTGTTAAATAACTCTTAACTCTAGACGGTAGGATTAAACATCGTATGCAATTCCATAAATTGACTAAAGTATAAGTTGCAACATGATATGCCCACCATATTTTTCTTTGAATCATCATTAAGATGAATGCACATTCTACTATTTACTGAAAAACGAGATGCATGTTTTCTCTCTTTTTTAGGTATCTCAAGGAGGTGAGTTTTGTGTTCTAATTTAATAAGAGATATTAAAACTTTTGATGAATCTATTTGACTTTTTTATAGATTATCTATGTGATTTTAGAAAATTTGTTACTTTAATAAAGAGATTATACATATACATAATAAACGAAAAAGCTACCTGCCCAAAGGGCAGGGGTTGAAGCTAGTAGTTTCTATAGTATTAAATTAAAAGGCTTTGAGAAAAAAATGACAAAAATACTAATAACTTCTTTTATCCGTCCGAATCTAACTATATTGTAAAGTCCGATCAAACTAAAATGCTAGGTGGTATGGGTCAAATTTGAATCGAACAATACTAGTAATGGACCAATATGTGTTTACACCAAAATAATTTTGAATAATTATTACATGTATGAACAGTTTGGCCACTTTAAGTAGTTAGTTGTCCACTTTGTTGAAGCAAGCTGTATACTACACACTAACCTACCATTAAACATTTTTATTGAATTCACTGTTAAAATTACAAAAAAAAAAAATTACAAAATAACTATACATTCCCAACAAATCCTAACTTGGCAACTTCTAAGTGGGTATCACCCTAACTGAACAAAGAAAAGGAAAAAGATTGCAGTCGAGCTGGAAGAGACTAGAGAGTAAGCAGTTAAGGGCTCCAAGCTCCAGCCATTTGCTATTCATTCTTTCAACAATTTGATCTTGGACGTCTTTATTTCGTCCATACCATAGCCGAGAAGGGATGTTTCGGTAGGTTTATTTCTTTCTCATAAAATGTTCAGAAGAAGTCATCAGAATCTGTATCCCAGTAGTCGTCGAACTCATCCTCCTGAAAGTGTTCCTCCTGGTCAGACAAACCCAATTCATCGTCGTGCAAAATATTATCTTCAACCCACAGTGGGCAAGAACACGTTGCTTTCTTATCCTTCCACTCAGCACCACAGTTGTAGCAGAACTCGTTCCCACATCTGAGGCAAAAGCAAAGAGGAAAACACCATATGTCAAATGAACCTCGAAAGAAAACTTATAATTTACAAGTGTAAATTGATGTTATTTGTCTTGATATTGGATGTCATGGGAGAATGTTCGTAAAACATTGTTTGAAAGATTGGTTATCAAAGCAGCATCAAGAAATTCGCTCCTGCTTCCAGAATTTGCAAGCAACATTCAATGCGACCACAGTAATTGGAAAACAACTCGAAACAAAAAGTACGTTACCAGACAAATCATTCAAAGATAGGCTAATTAGTAATAGTAAGGACAATAATAGAAGAATACCTGCACGTCATGTGATAACAACCTTCCGCAAGTTCAATCATATGGTTGCACTTCTTACACTGGCGCCATAGATTCCTCGATGCAAGAAACTTCAGTTTCGCATCTTCGGGAGGGTTCGGGTAAACCCTTTTGTACATATCACAATCCATAGCACTATGCCAAGGAACCTTACAGTCTATACAGAAAAGGCCATGGCATTTCAAGCATTTCCTAGCAGGGGTTCTTTCAGAACCAACAAAAGCATATGCCTCGCTTTTTGACATTAGTGCCGAGCACTTTGGGTATGGACAGTATACTTTCTCAGTAGCTGGAATTGAAGCTTCCTTTATTCTCACTTGCATCATCTCAACGAGTTTAGGTGTCAAGAACTTCTGACAGCTGTTAACTTTGAGCTCCGATTTGCAGCCATCACTGGGACATTGAGGCACCATACCATGCAGCAACTTCACCTCTACATGCTGCTTCATGCATGAAAAACAGAACCTATGACTGCACTGGTCAACTGAGAACATGCGATCAACATCAGTATCTTCTAAACAGATAACACAGGTCTCGTGAGGAGAAGTCTTTGCATGGACAAATTCTGAAGGCCCTCCTGCGAGCTGTGAGACTATAGAATCCCTGGCAAGCTTAAAGGCAAGTCTGATGGCATAACGGGGTATCAGACTTGAATTGCAAAACTCAAATTTTCTGTACAAAATGGACACCTGATTCATTGACATGGCAACCTTACGCTGCTTTGGAGGCCATCTTCCAGTAACCTGCAGTGCCCAAAAAAAACCAAGATAGTAAATAAAGCCCCAGTTGCAAAGTTAAAGTTCCTTGTGATTAATCCATTAAACCTAAACCCTAAAAACCAAGACCAACGGTTGGTGAGCAAAAGGGTTCAGCCAAGGTAAGAACTTGATACGAGAGAACCAAGCATGTCTAACGTAAGAGTAAAAGGCCGCTATCAACGTAAGAACTCTTTTTTTCTTTTTGCCAAGCAATGTAAGAACTAAATACCAGAGAATACGTACAGACGCAGAGACTTATGAATTCAAGATTTGCCTCTATTTTCCAGAGATCATCACTCCGGAGACAACAGTTAAGCCAAATCTCTGTTCCAGTTATGATCATCAGCATTTGACACAGTGTTCATTCATTAAAGAAGGCAGAGGAAACAAATAGGAATAACAAGATGAGGATAAACCAAATGAACGGGATCTGCAAGAACTCATACTGTCAAATCAAATTCATTTTCACTGAGACCATAACCTAGATAAAATGTGGCAACTTCTCACATTCAGTCATTATAAACAGAGAGCAGAATTCAATAGGAAAGAGTGAGACTTACGAACTGATAAAGTGGATAGTAATCATAGAAGACCACAATCCTTTTGAGGTCCAACGCAAGAGCGGCGTTTAGCCCTTCGATGAGAGCCTTAATTTCTGCAGCACCTCTGCTCCTTTCATCAATCAATGGCTTCCTAACCTCAAAAACCAAATTCTCATGCGGGTCGCATATCGCCACACCAATCCCAGCCAAAACCACCGTCTGACCGTTAACCCGCTCTTCACTGACCAAACCCTTGAAATACAGCCTGAAGATGCTGCCACCACCGAGGCGATTCCCAGTGACAGCGGTGGTCTTCGAGCTCCCTTCCCCGAACGGCCTCTCGAATTCATCCCCCCAATCGAACCAATCATCTTCGGGGATACTGAGTATCTCCTGCGCGACCTCCTGATCGTGGATTCGGCGGTTGAGATCCTCCCTCATCCGCTTCATCTCGAATTCGGATTGCCTCCGGTCGTTGATCTCCTGTTGAAGCCTGGCGATTTCGTCAGACTGGAGCTTGGGAGCGGAGGTGGAGGAGGTGGCGCCAATTTTCTCGGGGAAAAGAACTGCGGTGGCGGGGAGAGGTGCCGGGGAGGAAGAAGTGGAGGGAACAAGGGAGAGGGAAGCGTTGATGGCTTCCTGCAGTTGGAGGCTGTAGGCGAAATCGAGGTCGGAATCGAGTGATTCGGCCGCCATGAGTTCTCGGTGGTGCTCGGAGAGGAGAGTGTGGAAGTGTTCGTGATCATCGTCGCCGCCGCCGAAATCCATATTCGTGCGGAGGCAGAAAGATCAGAGAAAGAGAGCTGAATTGAGTAATTGACTGACAGTGCCGCTCGCCGGGGAAGGAATTTTTCTCTTTTTCATCAGACCTGCCTGGGGTAAGGGAGGGTTTTATAATTTATTAATTTCATTTACTAATTTTCCTTAAACACTAATTAGACAGATTTTTTTATTATCGTTTTATCAGCCAAACCTATTGAATTATTAATAATTAGTAATTGAAAATGTTGGATACAAACGAGAGCTTGAGATCTCTTGAATAGCTAAAAGGTACTTCGTACGTTGTCATACAATTCCGTGAGGAGGAGAGGTGTTTGACGGATGGTAAGTAGTGAAAGATGATCAGGAGGTGGTAAAGCTATCGGTCCCTAAACACATCCTCGAATGGCACTCCGAGCCAAGAGAAAAACCCTTTGACGATGTATCTCAAACACTATGCTCGGTTGCCTCTCACGTGAGAACCTCTCTTTTTTTCAAAAGATTTTTCAAAATTGAACACATGTTTGCAAACATTTTGAGTCCAAAAGTAAGTAAAGAATCCCGCACACATGTCCTAACCTAGATAGTGGACAATATCAACACATTCAAGGAGGAAATCATTGACTAAATTCCTCACTCTTAACATCCTCAGCAGCGCTACAATATCCTCCCTATCATGCATAACATCACAATTATATAGCAATTCAAAGCACATTGAGTAGGGAGAATGCAATAGGGGGCCAACTTTGAGCCCTCAAATTTGAAAAAATTTGGGCATACATACAAGGCTCCAAGTGGTTAAAAATGCTAAATCATCGTCCACAATCACTCTAAAAGCACACACTCTCTCGATCAAGCTTTTAAACATTCATGGGGTAAGAAAGTATAATCAATAACAACATTCCACACAAGCATTCATGCATACCCCCCCCCCCCCCCCCCAACCACACTTAATGAATACATTGTCGTCAATATGAGAAAGGTAAAAGGATAGGGAAACAAAGTTACCAAAATGCTTAATCGATGTGATTGTGGGATCTAAGGATAGGGTGGGTGGGTTGATCTCCTCACAAAGTTGAGAAATCGCCTTTTGGACTCAGTCTCTCAACCTCGAGGTGAGGTGACACTTCTAGTTGTTGTTGGTGTTATTGTTTATGGTGTAGTGGTGCTTTGAGGCTCAAATTGTTGTGTGGAGTTTCGAGTGATCCGGTTTCACCATTGATTGGAAGTTTGAAGTTTATTGCACTTTCTAAGGAGGAGCATTGGAACTCTCTCTTCAAAGGATTAACCCTTCTAAAGGTTCCTACACACACAAGAACGATTCATACCCATCCATGCCAAACATATTTCATCAACAATCGAATGATGCATTGAACACTTCTCATCGTCCCTAGGATCCAATCTTATACACCCCCACATTTGATGGTTACTATGTGAAACAAGGGTGAAAAGTGGAAAACAATGTCGAATTAGGTAGTTAACAATCTTGATTGATTGGTTCACATGACAACATGTCAATCTAGGGGTTTTAATGTCGTGTCCAAGGGAAATAAGCAACCTAAATGACTAAGGTAGGGGCATGGACCGATTGCTCAAAAATCATATCAAAGTGGTAAGCTTTGTTGAGCAAAGGGGCCATACACCTTATACCAATTGATCAATATTCGAAACTACCCCTCAAACATGCTACTAGAGGTCTAACAAAAGCATTAAAGTTCATTTGGCATGCATCAAATTATTACAAGCACAAATAATGTGGTTTGGGCATTTCATCGAGCACTTGGTGTGTAACAATCAAAACGGTTAGAAGCATGCAATTCATACACACCAAGTCCTCCAAACCACATACATTCAATCATAAGCATGAAACACACAACAACACATCACCTTTTCCTCATTTGACCTTCATCTTAGTCCATTAGAACTCATTCTTAACTAAGGCATGGTCGTTTACTACTACTTACACTACAAACTAACCTAAAAACAAGATTCAAACATGCAAGTACTTTATTTAAAGATAAGGAAAAGAAAATGCAAACTGATGTTTGGGTGCCTCCCAACTAGCGTGTCTTTTAAGTCATTTTACCGGACCGTTGTCTTCGAGTACTCAGATCAGCTCAAGACCTCCTTGAAGTTGAGGTTGTCGTCGGTGAGGTGAATGACCCGTTGACTTGGTAAGAATTGTGTCTCCACCCATGAGACCTCTTATTTTATTCTTCTTTCTTCTCTTTGCCCCATACCATGTAATGCAATCTTGATTGACCATACTTGAATCCACCAAGAGGGATTGTTGATGGCGTGGCCTTGGCTTGGCAAAGTGAATCTGCAAAAGTATCCTTATCTAAAACTGTATCAAGGTCGGGTGGAAAGCTTTTGTAGCACATATAACTTGTAGAAGCTTCATCCATCCCTTCCTTGTCCATTGATCGGACTCTGATTGCGTCTTCAACCTCCTCTCCTTCTTGTGAAGAATCTTCTCCTTGTCGGGTACCAAGCTCTCCTCTTCTTCACTTTCTCCTTCCTTCCTCACAACCTGATCAAGGCTTCCTTCTTTAGTTTCCCCTTCTTGATGTTTAGGAGCAATGATGGCTTTACAAGCAAGTTATTCAATAGATCTTCAAGTTCCACTTGCTTGTCCACCCTTGAGACACCTTCCTCTTTTACCGCTTCCTCTTTTGTTTCATTCTTGATGTCAAAGAGGCGCTCTTGACTGAGTCTCGAGCAAAGTTTCTCAATAACTCTTCCATTCTCCTCTATCCTCTTGAGCATCTCTTCTTGTTCTTTGAGGAAGTCTTGAGTAGAAGGGTCGGGACTTCCCTTGATGAAAGATGTCCATACGGTCCCCACCTCTTGGAGCCAACTTTCCTCTCGTTTAACACTTTAATCTGGAAGAAACCCGGAGGAAGGTTGGGATCGCTATCATCTAGGCACTCCATTGGGATGTTGTAGCGCTCAAATGCTAACTCTCCAAAGCTCTTTGGTGTAGGTGGTGGTGATGTTGAAGTGTACTCCCGCTCCTAGCCAGGGACGGAGCTAGTTTGTGCCCCCCTCCCCCCTAAGTTTTACAAATAGGTAAAATCGTCAGTAGATGACATATTAGTTGCTGTGGCGTGGTGGTCGTAAGGCTCGTCTAATAGGTGTGTGTAAAGGTTTCTCGTTTGAACCTTGTTTTTTCAATTTTTAGCTTATTTTAATTATTGGAATGACACCTCCTCAATCATCTGGGTTGGTGAGTGGTGACTCGGCCGAGCCTTTGGGCGCCCCTTTTCTAATAATAACATATAGCAGTCTACATATTATTTAGTGTCTCACTCTCCCTTTTATGAATCATAGATTTCATTTAGTGACTATGTCTCCACCTCTTAAATTCTAAAAAACACCTCAAGAATATAATGTATACCGTGTTTGGTGGTTATAAAACGTAACTGATATTATTTGTGGCCAAGAGGTAAGTTTATTTTAATATGAATATTCTCTGCATTCTTTAGTTTTTTTGTCGATTTCTTTACAGGTATCTTCATATTTCTTAAAAAATTTACCATCTTCACATATGTATATAGTTAAATTTTGAATTCTTAATTTTATAATTGGATTGTATTTGAATTTATGAAGTATCAAATTGGTAAATATATGATGTATGAAACACACGGTATTTTATCATGAGTTTAGAAGAGATAAGTTATTATTTTTTAATTTTGGCACAACTTTAAGAGGCATCATATTAAAAAATTTATGAACTATTTGTATGCAATTGAAATTCTCTCACAAATTTTCTTTTATCAATATGTTGGAAAATAATCCCCCCCCCCCCCCAATCAAGAATCCTGGCTCCGTCCCTGCTCCCGACCATGAGTTTTTCTAACTCGAGCTCCAAGAGGATCTTTGATTATGGGGTTGGAGTTGGGTGAGTTGTCTTAAGGCCTTCTAAATTTGTCGTATATGCCTCAAGTCACTTAATGGTAATCTCCAACTCGGTCTTCATCAAAGGTTGTGGAGGTGGTTCTTGGTACGATGGTGGAGATGCTTGATATTTATGGAGGTACGGTTGATAGGCATGGAGAGGTGGTTGTTCTTCGTACTCGGATACTTGGCTGACACCACTACTAGAAGTTTCAAGATAACACCAATTCGGCGGTTGGTGATCTCCCCACTTCTCATGCCCACCATATAGATCCATAGCTACACCTAAACACTGTCTATATTCACAAAAACAAAAACAATCTATGAAAAGCACAAGTGTAAAAAGAAAAGAAAACAAAAAGTGAATAAACACTTAACACAGGATAACTAAAAGGACCATAACAAAAGAAGAAAGAATACGAGAAACAAAATAAGACATGACAAATAGAAAACACAAGAAAATGGCACTAAAGACTTGATGCTACACCAACACAAAACACGACAAGACAACGCCAAACTTGGCACACAATAAATGATTATATAGTAGTTCTCGGCTTTTCATAATAACTTAAGATTATCCGGCAAAAGCGTAAAAAATGTTTAAGGATTTTTTTTTCTTAAAAATTTAAACTAAGAGAATTGAGAATGTATGAGGCATATGCAAGGTTATCAAACCGGTTTATGCCAGTGTGTCGGTTTAGCAAGTGGAATGGTTCGACCGGTGGCACATACCGATTTGTGCCGGTTCATGCCGGTCAATATTACAAATAAAATTATAAATACTCATTTTAAACATGACATTTAACGTCAATACCTAAACATTTATACTTGAATCCAACAAATAACATCAATATTTAACATTTATACTCATAAAATAAATAATAAATTAATTTTTAACAATTAAAGTCACTAAAATAAGATTATTTTACTTAGAGGTTCGTATATCGATCATGCCGGTCATACCGACGGTATCACGCCGGTTTTATGACGGTATAGGTTGAACCAGGTATAACCGGTGGCACGCCGGCCGGCGTGACAACCCTGGGCATATGAATAACAATTGAGGTCCCACCGCCTACTGAGAGTGAGGAGAGGATTCTTTTTTTTACCAAACTTAACTTGAATCAAATTTGAGTAGAGCTCTAATTGAACAAATATTAACAGCTCGAACTAGTAATAAACTTGACAAGAGAACATCCCTAGCTTAGCCCCTAGGGCCATACCACTAAACAAACTTACTGCCAGCTCTTTGATAAACATGGGAAATAGTGACTGGAAACCAGTGGTTTCAACTTTCAAACCACCTTGACCAAAATGGAAAAGATTTTTACTTCAGCAACGGGAATAGACTCTTATGTATTCCATTACGTCTCTCTTCTATGAATGATCAATTACACGACAGCCATATTAAACCAGGAGAAAACCTGATACTGAGCTAAGAGCTCCGCTTCATTGCCCGATCGACAATCTAGTGCAAGACAACAGCACCCCAATAACAGGTTACACTTGCTTAACACACAAAATTCCAAGCCATTAGAACAAAAACATAAGTCCCCACCTACTGCAAAATAGAACACATGCTGCCCCCAAAAATCACAAGGAAATCGATGCTGATTGCAACTTTTTACTTCTCTGTTCCAGCAGCTCCACATCAAAAAAGTCCTGAAGCGGCATCACATCAAAAGGACGTGACGCCAGGCTCTTTATCGCGTCAGCAGTTGCCAAAGCACCTGCAACCGTTGTGATTATTGGAACCTTGTATGCAAGAGCCATCCGTCTCAGCTGCCTGCCATCAATCTGGTCCAGAGCATCCCCCGAGCTAGTGATCACCGCCAGATGAATATCCCCATTCGCCAGCATATCGCCAGCATGCGGGCGACCCTCGTGCATCTTCAACACTCTCTCCACAGGGATACCTTTCAGCTCAAGGAAGTGAGCCGACCCAGATGTGGCAATGATCCTGAACCCTAGTTCTATAAATGCCTTAGCCAGCCTCTCAAGATGTGGTTTTGTCAAGTCGTTGAGGCTCAAGAAAACCGTCCCTGACAAAGGCAGTTTCTGCCCAGCGGCCAACTGAGCCTTTGCGAAGGCAACAGCCACCTGAAAATCGATCCCCATCACCTCTCCTGTACTTCTCATCTCAGGTCCCAACACCACATCACAACCTGCAAACTTCTCGAACGGAAGCACTGCTTCCTTTACAGCAACATGTGAAGGGATCACCTCTTTAGTAAAGCCCAGGTCATGAAGCGACTTCCCGGACATGACAAGAGCAGCATATTTAGCCAACGGGTGGCCTATTGTCTTGGAGACAAAAGGAACTGTTCGCGAGGCACGGGGATTCGCTTCCAGCAAGAAAACATCTCCAGCTGCAGTGATAGCGTACTGGCAGTTCATCAAACCACACACGTTTATACGTTTAGCCAATTTCTCTGTCCATGTCCTTATTGTTGCTAAACATGATGACGAGATAGTCTGTGTCGGGAGAATGCAAGCCGAGTCACCAGAGTGGACCCCAGCCTGCTCGATGTGCTCCATAATGCCACCAATAACAACGTTTCCATTTGAGTCCGCCAGAGCATCGATATCAATCTCGACGGCATCTGAGAGATACTTATCGATCAAAACTGGCCGCTCTGGGTCCACCTCGACTGCATTTTCGAGGTAAGTGATTAGCTTATCATCACTATACACGATCTCCATGGCTCGGCCACCTAGCACATATGATGGCCGGACAACAACAGGATAACCAATTTCTGATGCAATTGACAGAGCATCAGCTTCGCTCTTGGCAATGCCTCCTTTAGGCTGCTCTATTTGCAACTCTTTGAGAATAGCATTGAACCTCTCTCTGTCTTCAGCAGCATCAATGTTATCAGGTGTTGTGCCCCAGATGCGAACAGGCCCAACCCCACTAGCTGCCATTGGCTTATTCTCGTCCAAGTATTGCTGAATAGGCAAAGCCAGTTTTAGTGGGGTTTGACCTCCAAACTGGACAATTATGCCATCAGGTCGTTCTAGATCAATAACATTCAGAACATCTTCAACAGTCAAAGGTTCAAAATAGAGACGATCACTTGTATCATAATCTGTTGACACTGTCTCTGGATTCGAGTTCATCATTATAGTCTCATATCCTGCATCCTGTATAAGAGAAAAAAACTGTGTAAGAGATGACAATGCAACGCTACAAATCTTGAGTATTGGATAGTTAACAGTAAAATTTGAGGAACATTTTATTGCTATAAAGCTACCGAGAGAGATCCTTTCCCTTTTGTGCAACATAATTCTAAAACGCCAAATGCAACTCACTCTTTCCATCACTCATCTCCCCTCTCACTTTCGGAACCATACTTCCTACAGCTGAGACGTGTCCAGTCCAGCGGGAAGGCGCAATGAACAAGGCCCTTATATGGTTCAAACATATGTCCAAATGACAGAAAAAATTGGTTTTTCTCACACAGTTTAGAAAGAGTGGAAAGAGACAAACCTGGAGGGCAAATGATGTGTGGCAACAGCAGTAATCAAACTCAATACCCTGTCCAATACGGTTGGGCCCCCCACCTAAAATCAAAACCTTTTTCCTTGAAGTAGGAGTTGCCTCACATTCAGAATCATATGATGAGTACAGGTAGGGAGTATCAGCCTCAAACTCTGCAGCGCAGGTATCCACTCGCTTATAGGCTGGAGTAATACCAAAAGACAATCGGCGTTCTCTAACATCCTTTTCTGTTGACTTAGTGGCAAATGCTACCTGTCTGTCGCTAAAACCTCGCTTTTTAACCTCATACAGGTCATCCTTTGTTAAATCAGACAAGCTCTTGGACATGAGATACTGTTCCACATCCACCAACTCTTTAAGCTGGGTAAGGAACCATTTGTCAATGTAACTCAATTCATGAATCTCATCCACTTTCATTCCCTTCTTCATAGCTGCATAAACAGAATGGATGCGGTTTGGGTTTGGAACTCGTAGGTTGTATTTCAATCGGTCCCAATCCCATTCGAGTTCCTTGATACGTGAACAACCCCATCCTGGGTAACCACACTCCAACCCCCGAACAGCTTTTTGAAAGGACTCTTGAAATGTGCGGCCCATTGCCATGTCTTCACCAACAGATTTCATCTGAGTTGTGAGTATCGGTTGAGAACCTGGGAACTTCTCGAATGCAAATCGAGGTATCTGAGAGAAAAATATTAAAAAAAAAAAAATATCAAAGAGTTGGTATATGAAGATCATGTTTTTTCTTGGTGACATACAGAGGACCAGAATTAAGAACACTAGACAAGAACATGTTTGTTTACTTTGGTTCTAATAGTTGAAAGAGAAGTCACCAAAACCAACAGGCCAGCCCATTTTGATTTACCTTAAACAGTTGTACTAACTCTCACCTTATGAAATTTCCATAACCATCTCTTAGTCAACAATGTAACTTAAAGTCTCAATTAACGAAGGCCATGGATAGAAAACAAGAAGCTGCGCTATGACTTCTGATACTATCAAGCCTATCGAATAAAATGATGGAATACGTAACAAATTATGATAGCAACAAGCAGGAACTGATTTACCTTAGTAACCACATAATCAATTGAAGGTTCAAAGCTAGCAGGTGTCTTCTTTGTAATATCATTGGGGATCTGGTCAAGAGAGTACCCAACAGATAATTTAGCCGCCATTTTGGCAATGGGAAACCCAGTAGCCTTAGAAGCCAGAGCAGAAGACCTAGATACTCTAGGATTCATTTCAATCACCATAACCTCCCCATCAACAGGATTAACAGCAAACTGAACGTTAGACCCTCCACACTCCACTCCAATCTCCCTTATAATCTTAATTGAATAGTCTCTCAACCTTTGATATTCCTTATCCGTCAAGGTCTGAGCTGGGGCCACGGTGATTGAATCCCCAGTATGAACACCCATGGCATCAATGTTCTCAATCGAGCAAATAATGACCACATTATCCGCCAAATCACGCATCACCTCCAATTCATACTCTTTCCATCCAAGCAATGATTTTTCCACCAAAACTTGCGTAGTTAAGCTCGCATTCAGCCCGGCCTTGCAAATAGACTCGAACTCCTCCTTATTGTAAGCAATTCCACCACCTGTCCCGCCCAAAGTAAAAGCCGGTCTGATGATCAATGGGAACTCCCCAATATCCTGAGCAATCTGAATACACTCATCCAGCGTAGTTCCAATCCCAGATGGCGGCGTCTTGATCCCAATATTCTTCATAGCCTGCTTGAAAAGATCCCTATCCTCTGCCTTCTTGATAGCTTCCAGCTTCGCTCCAATCAACTCCACATTGTACTTGTCCAATGCACCATTTTCCGCCAAGGCAACGGCGAGGTTCAGTGCGGTCTGGCCACCCATGGTCGGCAGCAGCGCATCGGGCCGCTCCTTCTCAATGATTCGCTCCACTACCTCGGGAGTCAGCGGAGCCACGTAAGTCCGGTCGGCCAATTCCGGGTCCGTCATGATTGTAGCTGGGTTCGAATTGATCAGCACGACCTCGTATCCTTCCTCCTTGAGCGCCTTGCAGGCCTGAGTCCCCGAGTAATCGAACTCGCAAGCTTGCCCAATCACAATCGGTCCCGCACCAAGTATCATAATTTTCTTGAAATCGCTCCTCTTTCCGACAACCTTCGCCTCCACCGCCGCTTCACTAGCCTCCGCCGAGCTGCAGCGCACAACGGCGGATTTGATACACCCCTTGGAGTGGCGAATCTGCCGCCGGTGCTGGCATGAGTGGAGGTTCAGAGAAGAGAAACTGCCGTTCCGGCGGGAGGAGAGCAAGGAGAAGCTTCCGGGACGGGGAAGACGGCGGTCGGGTGAGGCTGCCGGGAGAGAAGTCGAAGACAGAGCTTCGCAGCGGTTCAAGCAATGACTGCTCATTGTTTGTCGCGTCTGTTCAAATTGGAAAACCCAGAGAGATGGACGAAATGGAGCTATATACACATATATTGTATGGATGGACTAATAATCAGACAGTTGATTTTGCAGTTTTGGGGAAGGAGAGGAGAGCAGCGCTGTGATAGTGAGGGGAGGTGGCGAAACGGTTTTGTCTGTCTGGGTAGTCTTAAAATAAAGAGGGGAGAGGGAAGGGCGCAAATTAGGGTTTTTTTTCCTTCTAGTCTTGCTGAGGCAATGCCACGCCTGCCAGCAGAGTGACACGGATTAAGTCCGACCCGTTTGCAATTGTCCCTTCCTAGTTCCCTTCCCCACCGCGGGAAAGCGGGGTTCAATTATTACATAATTGCTAACAAGTTATTTGCAAAGACACGGTTATTGTTCGCCTAGACACAATTTACTATTCATTTAGACTCAAAATTACTGTTCATCCTCCTCTAATTGGTACCTGGTCTGCAGTTGGGCCCGCCGCTATTTATCCTGCTTTGTTTGCTGCATGTATTTGTTGTGGGTATCGAGCCGCCGTCAAATCAACACTTTTTGGTTTCACATGGGAGCTCTCTCGGGAGGCGTTGTTTGCGTTGAAAATCATGTTGCCCACTAGGGATGGCAAAAATATCCGTAACCGTGGATATCCGCCCGAACCCGGCCTAATCGGGTAGGGTAAAATCCGAACCCGAAGGACATTTAGTGGGTACGGGTAAAACCCGAACCCGAATATTGCGGGTAATGGGTGGGCATGAGTTTCTCAGTATCCAACCCGAACCCGCCCGATTATACACATACATATGTATTTTGTCTGGAAATAGTCATTATTTTTCTATAACATATTTTATATTTAGCATATAAATATAATATTTTCATGAAATTGTGTTGTTTTAATTAATTTTCTTCATTCTAGTGAATTATTGTCATACTTTTCCTCTTGCATAATGTGAGAATACGTGTGAATGTTAATATATTAGTTGGAGTTATGAAGAGAAATCGTTACCCATGGATAACCGTGGATACCCGAAACCCGAACGGGTATGGGCATGGTTTTAATTTTCTACCCGTTTCATATGTGGGTATGGGTATGGGTAAAACTCGAACTACTTTGGGTAGGGTAACGGATATGCACTATCCGTCCCCGACCCGACCCATTGCCATCCCTATTGCCCACAAATGCAAGCCACGTTTCGCTGATCTCCTTCTTATCTCTCCTTGAGATGTCTCTTTTTACCACCCGATTGAGACTGAAATCAGAGATGAATTGACCTGACCCTGCTGAGACAAAAGGGGAGAGCTACGTTGTGGGTGGTGGTCTCGAGATGAATACTGCCGCACTGCAGATATCCTCTTCTTCTTTCTCCTTCTAATTTGCATTTCGCGTTTTCCTCTCTCTTTCTAATGACTTTTGTGTTCTCTCTCTTTTTGCAGTGTCGGTGCTCCAGTTTCGTCTGTTTTTGGGGCACAACCAGGGAGAACTCCATGGAATGGATCTTCTATTCATTCTCAGGCAGGCCTTCTTCACGGTGTGCCCAGCTACTGCGCAACATGGACCAGTGGCGGCAGCTAGGCCTGGTCGGCAAAAACTCCAGATCCATCCACCGGGAGCTGGAAGTCTTCGACGTCGTCATCTCCAGGAAGAAGCTGGAGGACCTCTCCACCGACCTCATCAACCACCAGCGTCATCCATCGCCTCAACAACCTCTTTGACTGGTCCAAGTACGACGTCACCGTCCCCATCCCCGTCGGCTGCCACGTGGAGAAATTCGAACCCGATGCAGACGCTAGAGTTAGGGAACAGAGTGATCTTGACGGCGAGAAGCGGGGACACGGTTGCGCCATCGTTTTCAGCCTTCGATTTGGCGGGAGAGAGTTTGGGGAGAAGACGGTGGAGCAAGGCGGCGGCGTTGGGGAGATCGATGGAGACTTGGTTGAAGTCGAGAGAAGTCTCGGTGACGGTGAGGGAAACAAAGTCATTAGTCTCTCTATGATTAGTTTGTTTGCTGTGATTTCTCGATCTTTTGTAATCGGGTGGGTCTATGTGATTTCTCGATTTGTAATTGGTTGTGTTTGCTTTAACGGATTTGCTCTCTTTTGTATGATCTCTTTAGCTGAATCTGTTTTTTCACAGTGGCAGGCGGGTTCTAGACAGCAGGCTATCCCCTCCGGGTTTGTTCCAGACAAGAGCACCTGTTTAAAAATGTTCAACAATATGTCTCCTTTATTTCCCTTGCATGTTGCTGGTAGTCGCGTTCCTTTATCATAGGATTCATGGTTAAGAATTTGCACTCATTTCCTCTGTGAGAGTCGATTTGTCTTTCACCTTTATAACCTCACTGGAATTGTCTCCGACTGACTACTATTTGGTGCAGACATAAGAAATTGGATCCTCAACATTGAACAACATGCTTCTGATAATGTTAACAAGATATTGGTTGGAAACAAGGCAGACATGGACGAAAGCAAACGGGTATGCTTCCAGTTTTATTAATTGCCTCTCTTTTTCTTTAAAAACGGGGCTATTTCATACAATTCTCATACTGTCTACTTTTTCTGCTGGTAGGCGGTGCCTACAGCAAAGGGACAAGCACTTGCCGATGAGTATGGGGTCAAATTCTTCGAGACTGTAAGTGAGACCGTTTACATGGATCAATCTCCACTGAAGTCATCTCCTTACTAACTAACAGTCCACAAACTTTGGAATCGCAGAGTGCGAAGACAAATCTAAACGTGGATCAATCTCAAGGACAGAGTGATGATCCACGAGAACGAAGAGGACGACAAAAATGGATCCAAACCTCTGCCGAAATCTACAGGCAAGAAGCCAGCTGCACAGGTAAACAATCCAGGGAAACAGGTGAATTGACAAGTAGTTCCACTTTATGGTCTTTCATTGTTGGTGTTCTTACTGAATCTGATTGTGTAATGTGTAGATCTTTTCATTTCTATTTATGCTGAAGTGTTAGTTTTCCCTCTGGACCCTTGATGAATCTTGAGAATAAACTAATTTATTATAGATGGATGAAAAGGTAGCTTGCTATTAAAAAACTGAGTGAAGCACCACTAAATTATGACTGATGCATGTGTTCCTTATCCCTGTGCATTCCCTAGAACCTAACATCTTGAGTTCAGGCACTCCAAAATTATTGGGACCATTGATCTTTTCTCCTGACGCTGCTCATCAATTACTGCCAAAGTGATTCCCTGGGATTGTCCTTCTCAGTTTTCGGAGTTGATTGAGAAAGAGATCACAAAGTCGCTATTACAGTCAGAAGAGAAGGATCTTGTTGTGAGGATCATAGAAGTAAAATCGAAAGCAATGTATGGCGATTTGATGGCATGTGGATTTACAAAGGACAGTACATAGGCCAAGAAGAAAGCAATGCTAGATAGGAATTGCCTTGAATATGATTGCAGTAACTTCACTGGTCTCGGTGCAATACATGATGGGGAAGAGATGAACCTGAGATATGCATCAGATAAGAGAGATCGGGCAGATTTTGGCAATGTAATGTTCTTGCAATGGACAATGGTGTTCTCTTCTTGGCAATCTAATACATTGCTTTTTGTTTTTTTATATCTTCTTTTATCATTTGTTTTTAATTTAGTTTTTGTATGCTTTTGGTCATGCCTGCAGTGGAAGAAGATTCCAGCTTTTGGGCTTTCCGCTCTGATGTTGTGTGTATGGATTTGTTGTGGGTGAAGTTTTGCAGTGCAAGACACTCATGAACTATTGTGGGTGATTCTTTGATGTGGCGCAATGGTCTTTCAAAGGGAGTTTCCTTTCTCATACTTCCATTTCATTTTTCTGTTTTTAAGGCTATCTGATCAACCATATTTTTGTGTTCATGATTTTTCAGTTACATGATGATGATTGAGGCGAATGATTTGTAATGAGCAATCTCTCTACTGTCACTTCCTGCAGCAGCAGAAAAAAGCAAAGAGTGCTTGGGGTGCTTTCTCAGTATTTTCAGCTTAACTCAGAAGCATGGGTAGGATCTTTGTCGGCTTACTTCTTTGCTTATAAGATCTGCTATGGTTGTGGTTTATTATCTTTCTCTGGAAACAATTCTCTATGCCGAGCCCCTGTCTCTTTTCTTCTATGACTTTGTTTGTGTTCGTTTGGTTGCATCTGATAGTTGTTCATAACCATCAATGATCAAGCTGATCATAAGGCTGCAGCATCTTGCATTGCACAATATAGAGATTGCTCTTCTGTTCTTTATCGGCTTAGTTGCAAGTTTGGTCACTCGAATTGCTATAAAATTTCACGTTTGCCACTCAAATTAATTTATTCAGTTTATAGTCACTCGAATTAGTTGAACAGTTCAAGTTCGGCCACTCTCCGTTAACCTCCGTTAACTGTGATGACGTGGCGGTCAACTCTGACAGTTGACCGTTAAATGTGTGACGTGGCAAATAACAAATAATTAAAAAATAAAAACTAAAATTTTAGAAATTACACATCATTATCACAAAAAATTATAATTATAAAAAATGAAAAAAAGAAATTATCACAAAAAGATTAATTTGATCTGATTGCTCCCAAGAGAAAGAGAGGGTGTGAGCATCATCGGGGCGTTACAACTTACCGGCCGACGACGTAAATTCAAGCAAAATTAGCGAACATCAAGAACAACATAGTCGGGATCCTCGATCTATAACCCAAGCCGGATCCTCTGCTCCCTCCTCCTTCACTGGCACTACTGCTAATGCTGCCGCCGCCGCTAAGCATCTTCTATCCATACTAATAAAATCTCGAGGCTTCACAGTAAATAAGGAACGAACATGCCTGAAGTATTTCAGACTTGACCTAATTTATAAACACTCTATCCACAAACACTCAATTCTTCGAAACCCTACTACCCGAACTTACACAACTTGAGTTCTGCCTTCTCCAGCTTGGCCGCAACTTGCTCCAACGGCCGCCAGAGAGAGAGCTCACGCGCGCATGAGAGAGAGAGAAAGACTGAAAGCTTGCAAGAGAGTGAGAAAGAGAAAGAGAGAGAACCTTATCATCGAGCAGGAGAATCAGAGAGTTTACATCGTTTTTCGCCGGATCGAGAGAGAGAGAGAGAGATCGGAGAATCGTCACTGATTCCGTCGGTGGGAGAGTTTTCCACCGAATCGACAGTGAGAGACCGGAGAATCGCCATTGATTTCGTCGGTGGA